TCAATTCATTCAATTTCCTATATATTAGCTACTCTGCATTTGTAAACGCTTGCTGAAACAACAATGTTTTAACTTGCCTCTGAAACATTAAGAGGGAGGGAGCCCATCTGATCTGCCTAGGAAGGGTGTTCCATATCTGAGGCCACCACTGAGAAAGCCCTGTCTCTTGTCCCCGTCAGACATACTTGTGACGAAGGCAGGACCGAGAGCAGTGCCTGCCCAGACGATCTTAAAGTCCTTGATGGTTCGTAAGGGGAGATGCATTCCGACAGATTATTGAAACAACAGTCCCTCAAACTGTTGGAGGGCCAGATTATAATTTGAAAAAAAAACATGAATGAATTCCTATGCACACTGCATATATCTTATTTGTAGCACAAAAAACACTTCAAAACAATACAATAATTAAACTGAAGAACAATTTTAACAAATATAAACTTATTAGTATTTTGATGGGAAGTGTGAGCCTGCTTTTGGCTGATGAGATAGGACTGGCAGAAAAAATGAAATGCAAAGATACAGAATGGGTGACGCCTGGCTCGAGAGCAGTACGTGTGAAAAAGATCTTGGAGTCCTCGTGGACAACAAGTTAAACATGAGCCAACAATGTGATGTGGCGGCAAAAAAAGCCAATGGGATTTTGGCCTGCATCAATAGGAGCATAGTGTCTAGATCTAGGGAAGTAATGCTACCCCTCTATTCTGCTTTGGTTAGACCACACCTGGAATATTGTGTCCAATTCTGGGCACCACAATTCAAGAGAGATATTGACAAGCTGGAATGTGTCCAGAGGGGGCGACTAAAATGATCAAGGGTCTGGAGAACAAGCCCTATGAGGAGCGGCTTAAGGAGCTGGGCATGTTTAGCCTGAAGAAGAGAAGGCTGAGAGGAGATATGATAGCCATGTATAAATATGTGAGAGGAATGCCACAGGGAGGAGGGAGCAAGTTGTTTTCTGCTTCCTTGGAGACTAGGACGCGGAACAATGGCTTCAAACTACTACAAAGGAGATTCCATTCGAACATGAGGAAGAACTTCCTGACTGTGAGAGCCGTTCAGCAGTGGAACTCTCTGCCCCGGAGTGTGGTGGAGGCTCCTTCTTTGGAAGCTTTTAAACAGAGGCTGGATGGCCATCTGTCAGGGGTGATTTGAATGTAACATTCCTGCTTCTTGGCAGGGGGTTGGACTGGATGGCCCATGAGGTCTCTTCCAACTCTTTTGATTCTATGATTCTATGATTCTATGTTGTTGTTGTGTGCTTTCAAGTCATTTCAGACTTAGGTTGACCCTGAGCAGGGCCGGGTAAATGACTCGTTTCTGGCCCCCGGGCCTTAGTTTGAGGACCCCTGATTTAAACCATAAACTATCCTAACAAAATTAACTGGACTAACAAATTAATTTTGGAGCACACTAACAATTAACAAAATGACTTCGAATTTGAAACTAACTTTAATACTGTGCTTTGCGAAGTACTCCCATTAGCTTGTCCTGAATCTCATGCCAATCAGTTTGATGGGATGACTCTGGGTTCTAGCATTTGGAGAGAGGGAGGAAAGCTTACCTTGGTCTGCTCTCTCCACAACATTGAGACCTCTTCCACACAGCTGTATAAAATCCACATTGAACTGGATTATATGGCAGTGTGGACTCAGATAATCCAGTTCAAAGCAGATATTGTGAATTATCTGCCTTGATATTCTGGGTTATATGGCTGTGTGGAAGTGCCCTAGGTCTTTTATAAATCATGTTCTGGCCCAAGCTACCTATCCGAATGTATCTCTGCCTATGAGCCCACCAGGACTCTAAGATCTTCTGGGGAGGCCCTGCTCTCTATCCCGCCATCTTCACAGGCACGGTTGGTGGGGACGAGGGACAGGGCCTTCTCTGTGGTGGCCCCTCGGCTGTGGAACGCCCTTCCTACGGAGGTTAGATCAGCCCCTTCGCTAATGGTGTTTCGAAGAAAATTAAAAACTTGGCTGTTTGAACAGGCATTCGGATAAACAGCGCAATGAATATGATGAATACAGGAACGGAATTATGGACGACGGATTGGATTACGATTTTAGTTACGAGATGTTATGGGGCTGTTATTGATGTATTATTATTGTGTATACTATGCTTTTAATGATTTTAAATTGAATATTGTTTGATTGATTTTTTACCCTTGTTTAAACCGCGTTGAGTCGCCTGTTGGGCTGAGAAACTGCGGTATACAAGTAAAGTAAATGAATAAATAAATAAATAAATGTTCTTGCCCCACTTGCTGATTTTTCTAATAAAAGCCCCAGTCACTGCCAGTCCCTGGTCTTTCCTGGCAAACGTCATTGTGTTGTGGTCACACCTATGTAATACAACTACAGAAACCTCAGTGACGTGTGGATCACTCCCCTAATGTTTTTCTGGAACAATGCCATTACTTTATATTTTCCTTAGCACAATTGCGTTCAAGGTATGCAATCACTTATGAAGTAAATTCTAAGTAAATGAGTTTGACCACTATGACAAGCTCAGCTAGTAGCTTCTTTGCAGGAAGTGAAAAATTAAGTGTTTCCACAATCCTAAAGTGAGGACTTCCACATAAGTAAACAGGACACTTGTTCTTTGCCAAAGGCCATTGTTCATTTAGCAGAAATGAAAAAATACTCCCCGCTTTGTCTCTAACTGCAAATACATGTTTTATTTAGTTAGTAGAAGCATGATGCCATTAAACATTATTACTTTGTTGAGCATTTATTTCTTTATTTACATTGTATTTTCCCTGAAGGATGATTGCTTTGTTGAGAAGCTTGCGTCTCAGTCTGCGTACATAGAAACCCCACTGTTTCTCTATAATATGTAAGTGACTCTCTCTGCTTCCTTTGGGCTATTTGCTACTTCAAACAGACATTTGTGTATTTGCCAATGTCATCGGCTTAGAAGACTGAGCAATTATACAGCAGTATGTAAACTTGTCGGTAAATAAACTGTAAGTACTGCAGTCTGCCAAATGAATTCATTCTCTTTATGTATCAAGATAAATCCAAACTTAATTGCTTGCAGGATAAACCTCTTCTCAGCGCACGTATCAAGTCTGGCTGTCAGGAGGAATTCCACACAGAGAGTTTTGATGGCCAGTTTTGTGCCTTTTGTTTTCACTGACTGCCGTGGAAAACTTTCAGTCTTTGAAAAGAACAGCAAAATGTGCATCAAGTCTTTGATACCCAGTCCCGTAGCCAGCATTTTGTTTCGGGGGGGGGGGGGGGGGGGGCTGAGTCTGAGTGAAGGAAGGTCTACCCTGGCAAACCTTTTGTATCGTTACCCCAATACCCCCATGCATATGGGATATATTGAGCATGGTGATCAGATCATGATATGAATAAACATAACATTTAAATACCAGTAAGGCCTTTTCGCGGACCACCATCAGAATTTGGGGGGGGGGCTGAAGCCCCTCAAGCCCCCCCCCCCGGCTACATGCTGACTGAGTAAAATTTGCTCAGGTTAGATTGCAGCAGGTGGTCTGTGGCTCTTCTCCAATGTTGGACTCCACTTTGTAGCCCCATTTCTGAAGGTTGGCTCTGCATCGTGGTGCCAGAGCGCAGTCTGTTCAGCGCCTTCCAAGTCGCCCAGTTTCTGTGTGCCCAGGGGGGAGTCTCTCATTTGTATCAGCCATTGATTGAGTTCTGCCACTTTTGGACTCTCGCTTGCTGAGGTGTTCCAACGAGTGTCTCTTAGAAATCTATCAATACGGGTTAAAGAAAATTATTACAAGCTAATATGGAAGTGGTATGTGACACCAGTAAGAATAGCATATATGAATAAAAATAATTCAAAAAATTGTTGGAGAGGGTGTCAAGAACCAGGAACATATATACACATGTGGTGGCAATGTAAATATGTAAATAACTTTTGGGAGAAAGTTTTTAGAGAAATAGAAGATATAATGAATATGAAAATTGATAAAAGTCCTAGTATAGCTTTATTATCATTATATAATAATAAGCAATTGAAAAAGGAGGATAAAGAAGCGATAACAAACTTATTAACAATAGCAAGATTGCTCATAGCAAGGAATTGGAAAAAAGAAATGAATATACAAATAGAGGAGTGGTATAAGGAAGCATGGAAATTAGCAATAAATGATAAATTGACATGTATATTGAGATGGAGCCCCCGGTGGCGCAGTGGGTTAAAGCACTGAGCTGCTGAGCTTGTTGATCGAAAGGTCGCAGGTTCGATTCCGGGGAGCGGCGTGAGCTTCCGCTGTTAGCCCTAGCTTCTGCCAACCTAGCAGTTCGAAAACATGCAAATGTGAATAGATCAATAGGTACCGCTCCGGCGGGAAGGTAACGGCGCTCCATGCAGTCATGCCGGCCACATGACCTTGGAGGTGTCTATGGACAACGCCGGCTCTTCGGCTTAGAAATGGAGATGAGCACCACACCCCAGAGTCAGACATGACTGGACTCAATGTCAGGGGACAACCTTTAACCTTATATTAAAGGTTAAAAAAGGTATATGGAAACAAAGCGACTTTGATGCTGTTTGGGGAAAATTTGTTGTAAATGGTTTAAAAAACAAGGAAGGAAAGTTACCGTCACAAGAAGAAATGAGATTTTGGACAGATGATATATAAAAATTGTGGCTTGAGACGGGTGGAGGGGAGCACTGTGGTGGGAATAAAAAGGGGGAAAATGTTTAAGCAAAACAATAAAATAACATGTTAAAGAGTGTGTTGTACAAAATGTAACAGTAATAACAATTGTATAACAAATGTAGTAATTGTGATAAATCAATAAAAATTATTATAAAAAAAAGAAAAGAAAACTATTTCTTGATTTAAGTTGTTGACGTGCTGCCTGATACCCAAACAGAGGATGAGCTGGAGATGTCACTGCCTTGGTCCGTTCACTATTGGCTGCTACTTCCCAGCGGATGTCAGGTGGAGTTTTGGATAATCTCTTTTGAATAAAGTGAAAAAAAGTCTTCATTCTTCTCTCCCTCTTAGTGTTGATAACATCATGAAGGATTGTACCGGTGAGTCATTCATGGGAGGGTAAGTAGGCCAATGTTTTAGAAACATCCCTAGCTACGGCAGGACATTTGTTTGGTAGTTTCCACTGCATGATAAGGATAAATCTCATCAATGGTATTGAAGTTTGCTGCTAGAAAGGGCACGAAGCCTGTTTGATCTTGACTGGGTACATTCTAAGGAAGAAGTGGAACATGCTGCTCTTTTGCCTCATTGTTTTTCTAGGAGAAATATCAGGTAAGATTGTGATCTTATTACTATTAACTATGGAAGAATTTATTATTGACTTTTTTTTAAAAAAAGAAGAGCTTTATTTTTTGGTGGACAGTAGTCTATTTTTAATTTCGGAAGCAAGTTAGCACAGAGATCTCCAAACAATGAGAACATCACTAGATGTTGCTGCTGTTTTTGTTGTGTGCCTTAAAGTTGCTTCTGATTTGTAATTATGCCATCACATGGCTTTCTCTGGCTGAGAGTGTGTGACTTGCCCAGTGGGTTTTCATGACTGTGTTAACTGATCCTAAATAGACATACTTGAAGGCATAAGACTTGCTAGAAAAGATCAAGGTCAACTGCCATCGATTTTCACTGTAAGAATTTGTGCAAGTTGAAACTAGGTGCTAGATGTTCCCTTGGAGATGTACCATTGATCCACTAAGGACCACAAATTACACCTATACCCATCAAGATACTCACATGCTATTATTCTGCTTTTACAGAATAAGTTAAGTTGTATGCAGGCATGTAGCCGGGGGAGGGGGGGGGCTTGAGGGGCTTCAGCCCCCCCCCCCCCCAAAATTCTCATGGTGGTCCGCAAGAAGGCCTTACTAGTACATTGTTTAAACTGTTATGTTTATTCATATCATGATCTGATCACCATGTTCAATATATCCCATATGCATGGGGGTATTGGGGTAATGATACAAAAGGTTTGCTAGGCTAGACCCTCTTTCACTCAGACTCAACTCCCCCCGCCCCCGAATCAAACTCAGCTCCCCCCGAATCAAAATCCTGGCTACGGGCCTGGATGTATGGAAACCCTAGAAGTGTCTCATGTCAGGATTTAAAAGAAACAAGTGATCGCATTACAGAGAAGGAAGGGACAATAATTTTCCCATAGGGATGCCCTTGTCATGATTATGGGTTGTGAGATTTAAAACAATAATGGTGTCATCCATGTAGAATCTAGGCAAATGGGCTAGAATGAGAAAAATCTAATATTGTCTGAGAATTCTTTGATAGTGAAACTCCTTTAAAATTCAAGAGTTAGCCATAAGTCAGCAGGTTACTTGAATATACACACACATAATATTGTTCTCACTTCTATTTTTTTTTAACAGATTTATATTTCTAGGTGAAACAAATTATATTTCAGTGAAACAAATCTGTATACATGTATATATGCATGAACCAATACAATACTTCCTAACATCTATGCAATATTAGTTTTTGGTTATACTCTTCCCTCCCCCCATTCCTCCCAATTTAGTGAATTCCTGTTCCTTGGGTTGTAGACATTCATATATAATTCCTTTTAAACAAGGGAAAAAAGACTTAACTAAATATATATGGCAAGGCAAGAGGCCTAGAATTATTTATTTATTCATTTATTTAAAATTTTTGTATCCTGATCTTCTCTACCTCCCTAGAGGGACTCAGACCAGCTAACAGCAAGGATTCGATGCTAACAGTACAATCTAAAATATCATACATCAACAATAAATTAAAATACATGTAGAATATAATACATAAAAGCCAGTTCGTCAAGATAAAATCATGTCCAACTACATCCGCATATGTGGTTGATAACTTTGGTCAATTGCCAGTCTCCACCATTGTTCTGGGAATGCTTCGTTCCATAGCCAGGATTTCACTAGCTTCCTGAAGATCAGGAGGAAGGGGGCAGATCTGATCTCAGTTCCATAGCCGGGGGGCCATCACAGAAAAGGCCCTGTCTCTCATCCTCACCAGACGTGATTGCGAAAGTAGTGGGATCGAGAGCAGGCCCCTCCAAATCTTAACAGCCGTGATGGTTCATAGGGAATACATTCGGATAGTTAAACTGGACCGGAACCATATAGGGTTTTGTAGGTTAAAACCAGCACTTTGAATTGTGCTCGGAAGCTAATTGGCAGCCAGTAGAGCTGGTGCAACAAGGGAGTTGTGCGCTTCCTGTACCCAGCTCCTGTGAGCAACCTGGCTTCCGAGCACTGGACTAATTGCAGCTTCCAGGCAGTCTTCAGAGGCAACCCCATATAGAATTCATTGCAGTAGTCTATACGGGATGTAACCAGAGCGTGGACCACCGTGGCCAATTAAAACCAAGATTCTGCAGGATGAAAAGCAAAGGGGAGGATTGGGGTTACCAGGCCTGAAATTGTAGTTCGAAGCATGCATACTGATTTGGATGAAAGATTGGGTAACCTTGAGAAATGAGAGATAGTTAAATTAGACTGTTAAAATCCATGTTTTGGATGGCATGCCTATATATGATATCAAAAAGCAAAAGTACATGCAGATATTTGCAAAAGTATGATAGCTGGGACCCTATCCTGGTTGCGCAACGTTGGTCTGAATTAATGAAGGGAACACGTGCACAAGATGGTGCAGTGAGTGAGAGATGCAGCTGTGTCAGAGTCGTGGCCAGAAAGGGGGAGAGCTAACGTTTCTATCCCATTTATCATCTTTGTAAGCCGTTGTTTATCATTTAACATTAAATAACTGTTACATTACTTCACTCTTATCCTGTCACACCTAACTTAAATTACTTCACTGCTATCCTGTCACAGCTGAATCTCTCACTCGCTCTGCTGTCTTGCGCACGTCTTCCCTTCATTAATTCTGACCTGCGTTGCGCAACTAGCGTAGCGTAGGGTCCCAGCTATCATACTTTTGCCCAGATTTTAATTACCATTTTATAAGACGAGCCATACTAAGGATTTGGAACAAGTACAAAATTAAACTATGCCCAAAATCCCCATTATTAATTATCAATGGAAGAAGCTTTTTATATAGATAGTTAGATCGCTTCTTCGCTTCTGGTATGAGAGAATTGGCTGTCTGTCCAGGGGATGCCTGGATGATTTTTTGATGTTTTTATCATCCTTGTGGGAGTCTTCTCTCATGTCCCCGCATGATAGTTAGATATGAAGAAAGGAGAACACTGGATTGCATACAGAGATTTAATAATACATGAAGATGATAAATACATATTTAAAATTCAAGAGGAAATGAAGGATGCAAGACTTCACCTACAGTGGTACAGATATAGGCAGCTGAAAAAGATTTACTCAATAGTCAAAATATGGGATTTGAAAGAGACCAATCAGAATTTGAAAAAGAACTGTGTACTAATGAAGGACATCTTATTGCAAAAATATACAAATTACTAGCGGTCACGCTTGTGGGTAAACAGTATTTCTTGCTGTTTCTTTGCCAATGTTGATGTGGAGATTGTCTGGTTTGCCTACTCTGGAACATGCAACATATCATTGTCCTTCTTTAGGGGTCCCTTTCAAATCTTTGATACTGCATCTGTCATATACATATGTGTGTGTGTGTGTGAATGGTTGGATGGCCCTTTGTCAGGAGGGCTTTGATTATATTTTCTTGCCCTGGTGAAGGGAGTTGGACTGAATGGCCTTAAGGCAGCCATTCAATCTGAGAAATCAAGAACCGGGGGGGGGGGGGGGGGGGCACCAGGGGTGTCAGAAGGGTCACCAAAGACCATCAGAAAACACAGTATTTTCTGTTGGTCATGGGGGTTCTGTATGGGAAGTTTGCCCAATTCTACCGTTGGTGGGGTTCAGAATGCTCTTTGATTGTAGGTGAACGATAAATCCCAGTAACTACAACTCCCAAATGTCAAGGTCTATTTCCTCCAAACTCCATCTGTTCATATTTGGGCATATGGAATATTCGTGCCAAGTTTGGTCCAGATCCATCATTGTTTGAGTCCACAGTGCTTTCTGGATGGAGGTGAACTACAACTCCAAAACTCAAGGTCAGTGCCCACCAAACCCTTCCAGTATTTTCTGTTGGTCATGGGAGTTCTGTGTGCCAAGTTTGATTCAATTCCATAGTTGGTGGAGTTCAGAATGCTCTTTGATTATAGGTGAACTATAAATCCCAGCAACTACAACTCCCAAATGACAAAATCATAATTTTTTGAGTGATGGTCACTCCTTGTGTAGTGAGACATTTTGTTGCCAAATTTGGTGTGATTTTGTTCATTGGTTCTTTTGTTTTTAAGGTACTCATTATGCACAGAGCATTTATAGATAGATAGATAGATAGAGAGATAGAGAGATAGATAGATAGATAGATAGATAGATAGATAGATAGATAGATAGATAATAAGTATCAGGTCAGAAGGAAACATAGAAAAACAATGTAATAGGAAGGAAGAACTGGATTCTGCTCACAGGAAAGTGATTTAAGTAACAGCTTGTATCTTTTTGTATGTTGCGTATTTTTTTTGCAAAATGGGTGTGCTTTTAAATTGCTTTTAATTTTATTGCCAATTTAATTGTGATTTAACTTTTGTAAGTTATTGTATTCTACACACATCTTAATGGAGTGAACTTTTATTTGTATCAAAACTTTTGTAAGCCCCAGGGCTGGCAAAAGATGATATAAATAAATACACATACAAATAAAAACAGTTCTGGTTTTACAGTAAAGATATCAAGACTATCCATGAATTAACTTTATATTTTCTATAAGTTTCTTTATGGTGTGTACTAGGCTTGGTTGATTAAAAAATGGTTCAAAACTCGTTTTGGAAGTAGGTGGTGCTGGTGGAATTGATCTAAAGTCAATTCTGATTTTCACAGAAAAAAAAGTTCAAAACTTTTCAAAACTTCCAAGACTTCCGAATCCTTCGTTAATGGTTTCAAAGTGTTATTTCCTGTTTCATTGGGTGGTCTTTACTTTGAAAGTAGTTGTTTTATTCCAGAAGCGGGGGGGGGGGGGGGGGGCAAAAGGAAGAAATCCATCCACTCAGGTTTAAACTGCTTCTCCCAAGACTGACCAGGAGGGAAAGGAAACTGAAGGGAATCCATCCACACAGGGTAAAACTGCATCTCTCGCTCAAGAATGACCGGGAGGGAAAAGAAACCGAAGGGAATTCATCCACACAAGGGTAAAACTGCATCTCTTGCCCAAGACTGACCAGGAGGGAAAGGAAACTGAAGGGAATCCATCCACACAGGGTAAAACTGCATCTCTCGCCCAAGAATGACCGGAGGGAAAGGAAACCGAAGGGAATCCATCCACACAGGGTAAAACTGCATATCTTGCCAAAGACTGACCGGGAGGGAAAGGAAACTGAAGGGAATCCATCCACACAGGGTAAAACTGCATCTCTTGCCCAAGAATGACCGGGAGGGAAAAGAAACCGAAGGGAATTCATCCACACAAGGGTAAAACTGCATCTCTTGCCCAAGACTGACCAGGAGGGAAAGGAAACTGAAGGGAATCCATCCACACAGGGTAAAACTGCATCTCTCTGCCCAAGAATGACCGGGAGGGAAAAGAAACCGAAGGGAATTCATCCACACAAGGGTAAAACTGCATCTCTTGCCCAAGACTGACCAGGAGGGAAAGGAAACTGAAGGGAATCCATCCACACAGGGTAAAACTGCATCTCTCGCCCAAGAATGACCGGGAGGGAAAAGAAACCGAAGGGAATTCATCCACACAGGGTAAAACTGCATCTCTTGCCCAAGACTGACCAGGAGGGAAAGGAAACTGAAGGGAATCCATCCACACAGGGTAAAACTGCTTCTCTCGCCCAAGATTGACCAGGAGGAAAAGGAAACCGAAGGGAATTCATCCACACAGGGTAAAACTGCATCTCTTGCCCAAGACTGACCGGGAGGGAAAGGAAACCGAAGGGAATCCATCCACACAGGGTAAAACTGCTTCTCTCGCCCAAGATTGACCAGGAGGAAAAGGAAACAGAAGGGAATTCATCCACACAGGGTAAAACTGCATCTCTTGCCCAAGACTGACCGGGAGGGGAAGGAAACCGAAGGGAATCCATCCACACAGGGTAAAACTGCTTCTCTCGCCCAAGATTGTCCGGGAGGGAAAGGAAACCAAAGGGAATCCATCCATACTGGTTTGAAAAGCTGAATCATTTCCAACTCACTTACTGATTCGTAAGAAAAATGGCGGAAAAGGCTTTGGAAGGGCAAAGGGACTCCCGGCTTCCTTAAAAACTTCGAAATCTCTTCCAAAAGGAATCTTTTCAAATTTATTCCGAATTATGAAGATTCCAACCAATCCTAACCATGCCCAGTGTGTATCATATCACTACCCACTTCCCTTCAGAGCAGCCATTTCTCATATTCTCTTGCTGCCTGGCTGAGTTAATTTCTTCTATGCTCACCTATAAATTGCAGCATATGTTTCAGTATATGTTGTTGACCTAGTTGCATCTTGGAAATAACACTACTTAATAGGATATATTTTCATTCTCTGTAATCTGCAGGAGGAGGAACACTCAGATTTTCAGGTCTGCCTGGTACTGGCAATGTGAATGAAAATTCTCCGCCGGGCACTTCAGTGTATACATTCAGTGTTGAATTAACACCAGATTTATTACCAAATGTGGCAGTGGGATATCCTACCATAATAAATTCAAATCCCCTCACAAAAGCTTTTGAAATCAACCCCGTATCTTCTGTTTTATACAAGGTAAGCCTACCCACTGGGTTGCTCATCAAAATAGCCAGGAGTGGTGGATATTATAATAGCACAAATGACTTTTTTCTTTCCTAACAAAACACAAAAGTATGGAAAGGGATCTTGTAGCACCTTAAGAGACTGAGAGAATAAAGCTAGTAGTGTACATTTTCATACACTGTCTACTTCCTCAGGCTCCTTCTACACTGCCATATAATCCAGATTATCTAAGAAGATAATCCACATTATTTACTTTGAAGTGGATTGTATGAGTCTACACTGCCATATAATCCAGTTCAAAGGAGATAATCTGGATTTTATATGGCAGTGTAGTGGGGCCCCAGACACCAAAAACAGACTATCAGGAGGCTTGTGTTTGTGGATATTGTACTTGTATATTGCTTATTGTATTTATATGTGTTACGTATTTTACTGTGTTGTTGCTTATGTTTTGGTTTTTATTTTATTGTAATTGCTGTTTGGATTAATTGGCGAAGAAATAGGGCTGAAGCTGTTAGAAAATGTATGGGAAGGAGACCTAGGGCCTCTGATAGATTTTGATTGGAAAAGGGTCCTGAAGTGGAGAGTGGCTAAGAACCTATCAATAAGATTAAAAGAAAATGTATACAAAGTTATATGGAGATGGTATACCACACCAGTCAAACAACATCAGATGGATAGCAAGCAAAGAAACCTCTGCTGGAGATGTGGCAAACACAAAGGGACATATTTTCATTTATAGTGGGAATGCCCCCAAGTGAAGAATTTTTGGAAGGATATATTTACCGAAATAAACAACATTATAGGATCAAATATTATGCCGGATGCTAGCTTAGCATTATTAATGGACACCACGAAGCTGAATGTAGAAACAAGTAAGAAAGAATTGGTGACTATTTTGCTCACAGTGGGAAGAATTATAATAGCAAAGAATTGGAAAATAATAACTAATCTAACACTGGAAGCATGGTATAGGGAAGTATGGGATGTAGCTTTAAATGATAAACTAACAATGGAAATGAAGGTATTCAGGGGGAAATTAACAGGTCAGATTTTGAGGCATACTGGTCGGTCTTTATTAAATATGTCTTAGAGAGCGAAAATGGAAAACAACATAATTTGGTTGGTCAGGAATTTTGGAGATGACATTTGATTAATGGCTGGTTTATAAATACTTGGTGAAGGAAATGATACTTGTTCAGGCCTTGGTGGTGGGGCTTTGTGTTTGTAAAATGTTCACTGTTTTGTGTTTTGTCTATTCTGTAAGTTGTTATTGTATGCAAATAAAATCTTTAAAATAAATTTTAAAAAAGTAATTGCTGTTTGGGCTTGGCCTCATGGAAGCCACCCCGAGCCCGTTGGGGGAGATAGTGGCAGAGTATAAATAAAGATTATTATTATTATTATTATTATTATTATTATTATTATTAATTGGAAGGAATTAGTCTACAAAAGTTTATGATACCAATTACCTGCGTGACCGCATTTCTGTGTACGAACCCACACGATCTCTTTGATCATCTGGAGAGGCCCTGCTCTCACTTCTGCCCCCTTTGCAAACGCGATTGGTGGGGATGAGAGAGAAGACCTTCTCTGTGGTGCTCCCCGACTCTGCAACTCGCTTCCTAAGGATATCAGGCAAGCCCCCACATTGGCAGTCTTTAGGAGGAGTCTGAAAACGTGGCTGTTCCATTATGCCTTCCCTGAATAAGGAAATAATCCCCAGCAAAATGTCCTCAGAAGCACTTTAACTACTTGTTGCGTTGCTCTCCCTTCATTTCTTTTAAAACCCTCCTACTAGATACATCCTACCTCTGTTCATGCCCAGTGTTTATTTTTAAAATTTTAAACTATTACATTTGGCCCAGCCATAGGTTTTTTAAATCCTTGCATGTTGCTGTTTATATGTGAGTTATAATAATTGCATTGTTTTTTGAAGCCTCCCACAAGGATGGTAAAACATCAAAACATCTTGGCATCCCCTGGGCAACTTCCTTGCAGACGGCCAGTTCTCTCACACCAGAAGCGACTTGCAGTTTCTCAAATTGCTCCTGACGTGCACACACACACACACACATACACACACACACACAAATGTTCAGGTTTTTAAAAACTTACCAGTATTGTTGATACAGTTTACCATCTTGATTCCCCCTTTCAAGGGCATAGATAACATATAATTTATTAATTTTAAAATCAACAATAAAAACAATAGACTTATTATAATTTTGAAAAGTTGGGCATGATTTAATGTGAAAGCCAGTGGGCTTTGCTGCTTGTAGAAGTACTTTGCAGACTTGCATTCAAATCTCCCAATCTGCCATCATATTAACTGGGTGATCTTGAACTGGGTATATTCTGTCCACTAAACTCACCTGAGGCTGGATCTGCACTGCCATATAATCCAGTTTCTGAATCCAGATTATCTGCTTTGAACTGGATTATATGAATCTACACTGCTACTACACTGGATTATACGGCACTGTAGATGGGGTCTCAGGGAGTTCTTATAGGAATAAAATTGTGAGGAGGGGAGCTAAGTGAATGGATGTCAGCAATATTGGCTTATAAATATTGGCCAATATGGCCTATAAAGCCCTAAACGGCTCCGGCCCAAGATACCTATCTGACCGCATCTCGGCCTATGAGCCCACGAGGACTTTGAGATCGTCCGGGGAGGCCCTGCTCTCAATCCCGCCTGCCTCACAGGCACGCCTGGCGGGGACGAGAGACAGGGCCTTCTCGGTGGTGGCTCCTTGGCTGTGGAACACCCTTCCCGTGGACATCAGACTGGCGCCCTCCCTTATGACATTCTGCAAGAAACTAAAGACGTGGCTGTTCGAGAAGGCGTTCGAACAAGAAGTGCAATAATTGGCAATGACGATAGGAATGGAACAACGGAAAACGATATTGGATTGTGGCTTAACGATGAGACGACGCAAATGACTTTTTTGTATTTTGTATTATTGATATTGAGATTGTTGATGTTGTTGATGACGATGTTTTGATATTGCTAGTTTGTTGTTAGATTATGTCTTGTAATTTGCACCTTATTCTACATGTTGTACACCACTGTGAGTCGCCCCTGGGCTGAGAACAGCGGTCTATAAGCACAGTAAATAAATAAATAAATAAATATTATTTTAAGTCTAATGGATGTTACTGGAAATAAGGTGAAAGTAGCTGAATAGGTCTAACACAATATTTGAAATTCTTTCTTTTCCCGTTTTAATTTCAGGTTGTTACAACTGGAGTTCTAATCCTAGATTATGAAACCATGCCCCACCGATTTGAGCTGCAGATCCTTGTTTATGACACAGCTGGGGCAAAAGACCTCCAAATCCTAACTATTCAAGTACTCGATGTAAATGAACCTCCAGTGTTTCAAGGCAATATAGCAACGCAAAGTAAGATCCTGAATTGGGATAAAACCAGTTCTTACAAAATGGGTGACCGCTGAGGCCCTGTTACTTTATGATTTAGATCTGGAAACACATTTTATTTAAACCTGAAAATGTTTAGTTGGGACTGTAACTATGTTTTGACTATACTACGATATGTTGATGGGGGGGGGGGGGGGGGAGCGCCTTAAAAGTTACTTTTTCTAATCTCTGACCTGTATAGTGTTGGGCAATTAAAAAAAATACCTCTGCCTCTTGTATTTTCACTGATCTTTGTATAGCTTTTATGGAAAGTTCTGTTGTTGAGCAATTTAGAATGGCTGTGGATAGTGAGATCCAAGTCACTGTGGGTTTAGCCTGGTGACAAAAAGAAGCCAATATTCCAGAATAAATCTCACCAAGTTGAAGCAGAAGTCATCAAGGTATTTATTTCTGTTCCAGCTGGAAAAGGATGATGGCTGCAGTAATCTGCTGAAGAGCCGCCATGCCCCAGTACAAGAAATTACACATTTTATACTTTTCCCAGTATGAATTTCTGTGCCCGCCCCCAGAGCTGGCTTTGCTGTGATTGGTCAGGGGGGAGCCCTGACGTCACCAAGCAGGGAGGAGCGGCTGGGGGCTCGTGCAGCTCAACCAATGAGAGCCCGAGCTCTGCTTCGGGCACTCAGCCAATGGCGCAGCTACAGTACAGACAAAGAGGAATATTTATTTTAATGGTTGGATTATGATTGCCCCTTCCTGGGCCTTATTGATAGACGATCTGGGTGATTGCTGGGAGTCCTCAAGCCCAACCTGGTTATTGACATAAAGTTTTGAAACAACATTTCTGTCTGGTCCCTCAGAGCCAGCCTACTGTCAAAAAGTATGGCAATATTGATATCTTGATGAGGATCTCTTGATCCAGCTTACTGGGGAAGGGAATGACATTGTTTAGGAAGCTGCGTCATCCCATTCTCCTCACAGCAGGCATGTAGCCGGGGGAGCCCCCCCCCGAAATTCTCATGGTGGTCCACGAGTAGGCATTACTGGTACATTATTTAAACTGTTACGTTTATTCATATCATGATCTGATCACCATGCTCAATATATCCCATATACATGGGTCTATTGGGTTAACGATACAAAAGGTTTGCTAGGGTAGACCCTCTTTCATTCGGATTCAGCTCCCCCCCCCCCCGAATCAAAATCCTGGCTACAGGCTTGCCTCACAGAGGGGAAATATCCTTTGTGAAGAGTGATTAAAGTATCCAAAAGGTTACCCAGTTCTTAAGTGGTCTGATCCTCCAAGGCTTAAGAAAAAGGGGCCATCAAGCTATTGTTTATATTGTGAAATGCTTGAGAATGAAGACCCAGAGCGGCCTGTGGCACCGGGGCCAGGAAATACTGACCAGAGTTCATAAAAAGATCACCTTGCCTCATGTTTTGCATAGACATACATATAAATAATATAAAAATAATATACATTTACAGATAGATACACGTTAGGGTCCATGGGAATCAGGGGGACCCCTGACACACTAAGGAGAGAGGCGCAAGGGCATTTGGGATCATGCAGGACGGATAAGAGAAGTCCTTCTGCAGACTGGTTAAAACTTAACTCTTATTATATCATTCCAAACTGGTGACCTTGGCAAAACTATGAATTCCCTGATTATGTCTTTTTTGGGGGGGGGGGGTCACCTCTGACATTTCTGCATTTGTGTGTGAAGAAATATAGTCTCTCAAGGCATATACTATCTAGGAAACAAGTCAGCAGCGATTGTTCTCTCACAATTACAATTTGTTCAATAGCAATGCCTCAGCTTGTAGCTGTGTAGACTTCATGCAAAAGACACACCACTGCAAATAGGCTGGTTCTACTACTATGCAAAGTGCCTTCATCCTCTCTGGTGGCAAATATCACAATGCTATTTCCCCCAAGGTTGCTTTTCTGGACATTTTGTCAAGAAAATAATGTCCTGGTCTTTCCTAAGATATTATTGCACGAGGTTCTAAAATGGATTCTGGAATTGCAAACCCATCTTGCTTGAGACTGTCCTATCACAACTGTTAAATTAAGATTTAATGGCCAGTCTGGTCCGCTTCTGTATATGTAGCAGGAAGAGGACACCATCTTATCTTATCTTGAGAGCAAAATCACGGAGGTGGGGTCTCTGTCTCTGTATATCTTCAAAAAGAGGCTACACAGTGTTGCCTGCTGGGGATTGTCTACATAGGACTGCTGTATAGAGCAGTGGGGTTGGACTCAATGGTCAATGCTTTTGTGTTGTCCCTCAACATTCATAGAGCTACAATCAGGTCACAATCACATATACACCCCTTCTTCGGAGTAAGCACCATTATACTTAGTGGAGCAGTGTATTTCCAAGTAAACATGCATACAATTGTTCAGTAATTTTTTAGCCTTAGTATGTTAATCTGTACAGGCGGCCCGCTCACTGTTCTATTTTATGTTATGAATGATTTTATTGTAATTTTATTTTTGTTTACTGTGTTCTTATATTTTATGTTTTATGTAATTTATCATGTTGTTGTTTGTGTTTAGATTTTATCTATTGTATTGGGTTGTTGGGCTTGGCCTCATGTAAGCCGCCCCCAGTCCCCATTGGGGAGATGGTGGTGGGGTACAAATAAAGATGATGATGATGATGATGATTATTATTATTATTATTTATCCTGTACACTGAGACAGGAACTAGCCGTCCCTTGCCACGCCTTGCTGTGGCCCACTCTGGTGGTCATGGGGGTTCTGTGTGGGAGGTTTGGCCCAATTCTATCGTTGGTGGGGTTCAGAATGCTCTGTGATTGTAGGTGAACTATAAATCCCAGTAACTACAACTCCCAAATGTCAAGATTCTATTTCCCCCAAACTCCACCAGTGTTCATATTTGGACATATTGAGTATTCATGTAGAGTTTGGTCCAGATCCATCATTGTTTGAGTCCACAGCTCTCTCTGGATGTAGGTGAACTACAACTCCCAAACTCAAGGTCAATGCCAACCAAACCCTTCTGGTGTTTTCTGTTGGTCATGGGAGTCCTTTGTGCTAAGTTTGGCCCAATTTCATCATTGGTGGAGTTTGGAATGCTCTTTGATTGTAGGTGAAGTATAAATCCCAGCAACTACAACTCCCAAATCAATTTTTTGAGTGAAGGACATACATTGGGTGTCTTGTGTCCAAACTTGATGTTAATTTGTCCAGTGGTTTTTGAGTTCCGTTAATCCCACAAATGAACATTACATTTTTATTTATATAGATGATGATGATGATGATGATTATTATTATTATTATTTATCCTGTACACTGAGACAGGAACTGGATAATAGGATGCAGTTTTCACATGTAGCTTGTGCTGTCTGTAAGATATAATTTCATCCATCGTTTACATAGAATAATTATTTTCTTAATGAAACTTAATTCATTTATTTGGACTACCATGGCCAGTTTCCCAAGTGTGAGATTACATTAAAAGTTGCTCAAATAAGTTGTTCATTATAAGGTGTGGTTCAAAGAAAGATGTAAAATGCCAATTGAACACTGGTTTCTACTCTGGAATGAAAAGTTGATAAAAATTGTTTTGTGTTTTTTAATCTACTTAACTGTGAAAGCCTTCATCTTGATACAGAGGAGGAAATTTATGGGCATAAAGAGGTGAAGAACCACTCACTCCAACTTGTGTGAGAAATTGCTCGTTTCCAATGGAAAGAGCTCTTTCTCATCATATTTTGGGCAAATTTGCACCCCTCAAGTGGCAAAAGATACCTGTTTGTTGTAATACGTGATTTTCCTCCCTGCATATCTCATATTTAGATTAGGTGGAAGTCAAATAATAAACACATCTTTAAATTTGCTAGTCTGGTTGCTAAAATACACAACTCTGAGAAACCCCTGTTGTAAGTTTGAAATTGGGTAAATCACAAGGAATACACATTCCTTCTAACATCTAGCTGGACTCTAACAGCCATTGTGTTATATTATAACTGACTCATAACCAGGATGACATATATGGTAGCTAGAAATTTTTCAGATATATTTTATTCATATCTGCTTACATAACATTTCCCTTGCTTCTTTAAATTAATGCCCATTATACTTTTTTCTGTATAGTTGTCACAGTCTATGTTTTGGAAAACACACCAGGAGGGGCTATTTACACCATTAATGCAGCTGATTCTAAAAACGCAACATCTGCAAAAATCAGTGTAAGTATAAACAATAAATACTTCAGCAGCTATCATAGGAAGGAGAGCATTTGGTCCTGCAGACGTTATTCAACTGAAACTCTCATCAGCTCTAAAGGTAAAGGTAAAGGTAGTCCCCTGACATTAAGTCCAGTCATGTCCGACTCTGGGGTGTGGTGCTCATCTCCATTTCTAAGCCGAAGAGCCAGCGTTGTCCGTAGACACCTCCAAGGTAATGTGGCCGGCATGACTGCATGGAGCGCCGTTACCTTCCCGCCGGAGCGGTACCTATTGATCTACTCACATTTGCATGTTTTCGAACTGCTAGGTTGGCAGAAGCTAGGGCTGACAGCGGAAGCTCACACTGCTCCCCGGAATTGAACCTGTGACCTTACGATCAACAAGCTCAGCAAGTCAGTGCTTTAACCCACTGCGCCACCGGGGGCATCAGCTCTAGCCAATGGTTAAAGATACAAGGGACGTTCATTAAAGATTTCCCCTGACCCATTTCTATTTATCACAGGATGCTGAAACTGCACACTTGTAATGATATAAGTCTCTATAGGTTACGTGCCAATTTACAACTCAGAACTGATAACCGTCTGAATTTTACAGGTACTGAAGTGGCGTGATGTTTGAAAATAATGTCCTGGTCTTTCCTAGTGGCGTGATGTTTGTAATGGATCCTGTGGAATACAGAGCAGTTATCAAGTTCCTTTACTTCAAAAGCCGCACACCAAATAAGACGTTTGTTCTGTCACCGCTGGGCTTGAAACGAAGTGCCTTTAAAACAGGACGTGCAACTTTAGCCCAACGGGAAGCCCGAGGGCCCGAAGAGAAGCCCTTAGAGAATTTCCCCCCATTAAACAGTCTTTAGAAGGCTTGAGCTTAAATACAACAAAGTCTTTTATTGATGAACAATTAAACAGAAACTTCTTTTGTCTTCAAAGATTAAACAAATGCTTCCAGGCTTCAAACAACTGGTGGCTTCTAACTGTTTCTTTGCTTTACTTTCAAGGAAAAATCCCTTTCTAGCTCCTCCCAGGCTAACTGTGAACCTAAGCCTGACTGATGTGGGTCCACTACCGGGCTGAACTGCGTCTCAAAACCGAGTGGACGTACCAGAAGGCCTGTAGTCACTTAGCTGGAGTTCTTGGTTTAAAGCTGTTATTCCCTCCGAAATTCCTCAGGACTGTAAGGCTGTTTCCCTGGAACCTTTAGGAATCTTTAGATGCTCTTAAGACTGTTCTACCCCGGGAAGTCTTAAGGGTTGAAGCCTTTGTACAGGAGAAAGTCTGTACACGTCCTGTACATTGACTTCCTAGCTGAGACTAACTGAAAAATGGCCCCCTTCCCTTCCCAATTGCCCTGAGCAAGGGGCGGGACCAAACTCAACGATGATGGACAGGTGGCCTGCCCTATAACTGCAACCAAAAGAAGCCACCTATCTGCAGAGTCCTGAAACTTAGGACTGCAAACAAACATTCAATGCAAAGCAAACAAAATTGGAGCTCCTGGTACAGCTGTACCAGAACAAATTGCGATGAGGTGAAAGAGGTTTATGGTGATGATTCCCCATCATATGATGTAGTCAAGAACTGGCATTGTCAATTCAAATGTGGTTGGACTTTGATGCAAACAGCTCCAATTTCAAGGTGACCCCACTGTGCTATTGATGAACAGACCATCCAGCAAGTGGAGGTCACCATTTTGGAAAATCACCATATAATCATTTGCCACCTAGCCCAAAATGTCAAGATTAGTGCGGGGTTCATGGAAAATATCATACAATACCATCTTTACATGCATAAGGTATCCACTCGTTGGGTCCCCCGGCTGTTCACACCTTTCCAGAAGCAGGAACGAGTCGAATGCTCTCAGGCTATATTGACAATGTGCCATGGAAACCAGGAGGACTTTTTCAACAGACTGATCACGCAGGATGAAAGCTGGGTCCATCACTATGATCCTGAAATTAAATTCCAGTCGATGCATTAGAAGCATAATGACTCACCACCTCCAAAGAAGGCACATACCCAACTCTCAGCAGACAAGGTCATGCTCACAGTATTTTGGGACCAGCACAGAGTAGTATTAATGGATTTCCTAGCAAAGGGTACCATGATCACTGGGACACACTATGCTTCACTGCTGTGGAAATTGTGGGAGGCTATCAAAACCAAGAGATGTGGCATGCTCACCAACTTTGTCCGCCTTCTGCAAGACAATGCACTAGTTCACAACTCACATGTTGCCCAAATGGTCCTTCGGCATTGGAATTCTACTGTATTTCCCTTATTCACACAACCTTGCACCATTGGACTACCATCTCTTTCCAACAATGAAGTTATTTTTGAAGGACAAGCATTTTTCAGATGACGAGACTCTGATTTGCGAAGTCACAACATGGCTTTTGGAGCAACCTGTTGACTTCTACAAGTGAGGTGTTTAAAATTGCTTGAAAAGATAGAAGCGTGTGTCCCTAGGTGGCACCTATGTAGAGGAGGAATAATAAACTCTGCTCTCGGTCCACAGGAAGTGGGTCAGGGGAAATCTTTAATGAACAACCTTGTAATATGAGTTGTAGTGAGACAAGTTACAATTTTTCCCAAACTTGAGATACAAAACTGGTCTGTATGGGATTCAGTAATCAAAAATTAAAAATCAGATTTTCTCAGATTTTCTATACTATACTGCTAATAGCAGTTTGCTGAACTGGTATGAGGGTTGAATGAAAAGTAATGCCTCCACCTTTGTAACTCCTCAACAGATGGCGGTACTGGTATGCGGCGGGTACTGGCTTGTTCAGTAGACTCTCCTCTACAGTTCCATTTTGGCAGGAAGCCTTAGCATTAAATGGTTGTGTTGTTAAAGTGTGAAGAATGGAACCCAGCGCAGACATTTGGTCAATGGGACTTAAGCAACGTGCTGTCATTGAATTCTTGACAGCAGAAGGTGTCACCCCAAAGGAGATTAATCAGAGAATGCAAGCTGTTTATGGTGATTGTGTTGATGTGTGTCGTTGGGTGAAAAAGTTTAAAGATGCTGAGGTGGAAACAACTGACTTGCGTGACAAACAAAGTGTTGGACGTCCTGTGACAGCAACCACCGAGTTTCACAAGCAAAAGGTTGACAGGTTGATTCAGGACAATTGTCAGAGAGAAATTTCAAGCATAATCAGCATTTCACAAGAATGTGTGGGTCATATTACTGCTTTGCTTGGCTATTGGAAGATCTGTGCATGAGGAGTACCTAGGTTGCTGATGCCTGAAACGAAAACACACAGACGAAACTTCAGAGACTGGATCTCACCACCACACGACATCCTCCATACAGTCCAGATTTAGCACTGTCTGACTTCCATCTGTTCCTGATAATGAAATAAGATCTGCAGGGACATCATTATGCTTCTGATGAAGACGTTGAGAGAACTGTGAGATGCTGGTTGCGGAAACAGAGAGTTGACTTCTTCCGTGACGGCTTCAGAAAACTTGTTGGCAGAAATGTATCCAATTGTCAGGTGATTATGTGGAAAAGTGAATAGTGGCAGTTAAAGAGCACATTCTAAGGATTATTTCTGCGTTTGATTTATTAAAATATTCCAATCCAAACCCAAGTAATAAAGGTGGAGGCATTACTTTTCATTCAACCCTCATATGATGAGGAAAAGCTTGGTTAACTCAATTGTGATTATCAGCCTGTTCAGTTGCCAGCTTTTCAGGAAAATATAGTTTTAAAATTACACAGATGATACAATACAAAATGGAATTTTGCATTGAATATTTTTAAAAACCCTACTTCTTGGTACAGTACATTGACATAACAAATTACTGGTTGTATATTTATTAATTATGTGGGATATATTCCTTTGAAAAATTGAAAGCAGGGTTGACAAGAATAAAAGGAGGGTTCAAGTTTCACCTGAGCTATTAATTTATTTCCAGCAAAGTCCAGCCAGATGCCACACGGAAGTGCTCAAAAACAGCATGACAGCCAAAGAATGCTGATTTGCTTGTTTGTTCAACTTGGAAAAATTAGATTTGGATTACAGTTGATCAGTAGAGTTGATCAGTGAGATGGCAAATCTACTTTAAGTCTTAGGACTTTATTGCATCAGTCTGTTGTCTCGTGGCAATCATGTTGTTAAAGTAAATGAAGACATATTAGTATGCAAGCTATTTATTTATTTATTTATTTCGGGTACTTTTACCCTGCCCTTCTCAACCCCCGAGGGGGGACTCAGGGCGGCTTACAAAAGGCACAATTCGATGCCTATACAAAAATTATACATAGTGTACAAAACCATAGTTAAAACAATTATCACAGTTAAAACAATCATAACAATCAATATACATCACATCATATAAAAACTATTCACATGCTCAGCGTTCGTCTTTCAAAGTTCCAAATTCCATTCCATTAGTCATTTCCTGGCCATTCTCAAAGTCCTTTCTTTATCTGCACGATTGTCCGAATGCCTGGTCCCAAATCCATGTTTTCAGTTTTTTCCTGAAGGAAAGGAGTGATGTCGCTGATCTAATTTCCCCGGGGAGCGAATTCCACAGGTGGGGGGCCACCACCGAGAAAGCCCTGCTCCTCGTCCCCGCCAACAATCAGTCACATTTCTCTGCAACCATATTACAGAGCTGTCTTGACATTTGCCTGCTTGGGAATAGTAAAGGGGAGAAGAGAATTAAACTGATACATGCTATGTGAGTGCTGGAATATTGCCACTGCAGCAGAGGAGGTGCACCACACAGAACTTAGGAAAGAGACAGTATTGGAATAATAATAATAATAATCATCATCATCATCATCATCATCATCATCATCTTTATTTTTACCCCATCACCATCTCCCCAACGGGGACTTGGGGCGTCTTACATGAGGCCAAGCCCAGACAACATATTACAGCAAAATAAAACCAAAACATAAACAACAAGCAACAGCTTCAAAATTACATTTAAAAACATATGAATACTGCAACACAATATAACATTACAATAAACACAATCACAATGACAGTGGGTGGGCCACATGTGCAGTAGTGTCATGTTGTACACCTTCTCGCCAGAGGCGCAGTGGAAGAGCCAGGTTTTAAGGTTCTTTTTAAAAGTTTCTAGTGTAGGGGCTTTCCTGATCTCTCCAGGTAATGAATTCCAGAGTCGGGGAGCCACAGAGGAGAATGCTCTCTCCCTTGTGCCCACAAGACTAGCACAGGGGCGAAAGGAGGGCCTCCCCTGAAGATCGAAGGGCCCGAGTTGGTTTATGGAGAGAGATACCGTCACGAAGGTAGATGGGTCCCAAACTGTTTAGGGCTTTATAGGTGATAACCTGTATCTTGAATTGGGCCCGGAAAATAAACGGCAGCCAGTGGAGCTCCTTAAACAGGGGGGTTGACCGCTCCCTGTAAGTAGCCCCAGTTATTAATCTGGCTGCCGAACGTTGGACAAGTTGTAGTTTCCGGGCCGTCTTCAAGGGTAGCCCCATGTAGAGTGCATTGCAGTAATCCAGCCTAGAGGTAACTAAGGCATGGACCACTATGGTCAAGTCAGACTTCACGAGGTATGGTCGCAGCTGGCGCATGGGTTTTGACCTATGCATCAAGCGTCAGCGCTGAGTCCAGGAGGACCCCCAAGCTGCAGACCTGTGACTTTAGGGGGAGTGCAGCCCCGTCCGGCAATATCCCCATTAATGAAAAGAGAGGTTCCACTGACAACTGAATTATAAATCATGAACAGGAAAGACATTCTATAATCTGACAAGTAGCAAGAAAACATGCTATTATTCTGCTACAGTTGCATTAACCAGTGTGATAAAATCCTTAGTCTCAATCTTAAGGAGCTATCTATAGTGTAGAATCTCTTTTAGGCATAGAGTTCAGTACTTTGGATATGGCTTTGAAAGTTTGGCCTAAAACTCAGAGATTTGTTGCCTTTCTGATGTGGAAGTCACCAGGCCTATATAAGAAGCTGAGGCATAAGTATCACCAAAGTTCATGGCTGGAAATGAAACACAGATTGCATTATTTCTCTTACTTTTATACATACTATGCACAAAATAATACTAACATTGACATATCGTCTGCCATTTATTCCAGTATTCATTGACTCCTGACTCATTGCCATTCAGTATTTCTGAAACTGGAACCATTTATTCTTTGAAGGAATTTGATTATGAGAAAGATCCAGATAAGTAAGTATGCAATTATGGCAAGTTTCACATTTCATAAAGTGCCTATTTGATATTATTAATTATTTGCTGTGAATAAAAATATGCAGAGCTTAGGAAAATGAATTTTTGAGGGCTACATCTCCCAGATCCCTCCTGCAGTTATAAACGTCACTTTCTCAAACTCTGCAGAAAATTTGCATTTAAATCACAAATATTGCACGAATCTTGAGCCTCATTTTCATTTTACAGCTATATCTTACAAATTACAGCAAGAGACCATCTTGGTCAAAATGCCACCAGGACTGTGATTGTCAGTATCATAAACATCAACGATGAGCCTCCTTATTTTACTACGTAAGCAAAAACCTACAATTTCATCCAACATTTATATTAGGATTTTATAAATGAACACTAGAATTCTGTCCATTCACAGTAAAAGGAGTAGAACATTTTCCCCTTTCCTTTTTGTTGTATGTAGCGTGTGTGTGTTTGTGTGTGTGTATATATGAATTTAATGGATATATATAAAGTACAATCACACACACATGTATGCACACACAGACCTAGAGACTGGGAAATGTGATCAAGGATGACTAAAGGCTCTCACCTTTAAGGTGTTTTGCCAAGGCTACTGCTCTCTTTGAGTTTCTTTACTCCTTCTTGTTGTAGCCTAGTCAGATTCTGAGTGCTCAGAAGATGAGGAATGGGGTGCTGGAATAGATTCAGAGCTCCCATAGGAGGTTAGAAGTGGCCTGGAGAGAGTTTTTTGGAATCTCAGACTGGAGAAAGCAATATCAGTTCTCATGAGAATCTGCCAGAAGTGCAGGCTGAGAGAAATGTGGGAGATGAATGTTTGTCCAGATCAAGGAGCTTGAAACTTCAAACAGTGCATACTACAGAGACAGACTCGCTTTTCCCAGAGGCGTTTCCCAAATAAGGAGAGGAAAAGCAGGTGTGTGATCAATGATGTCATGGGAGGGATTGAGGTATTTTAAGTGGTTTTCTGCTGGTAACATCCTTTGTGAGAGCAACATTGTATTCAGGTGAACAGCTCTCGGTTCCTGGTCCTACATCTTTGGATTTATGTAGTCAAGTCTCTAAGTTTGTTCCTGTTTCTAGTTTCATGTGTGGCATAGGTTGCCTACCTTAGATTCATGCTATCATACTTATAGATATATCTGTGGATTGATTTGTGAGACTGTATTTGAAAGGATTTTGAAATCTTAGCTATCTTGGAAATAACTTTTTGAACTTTGATTCTCCTTCTTAGATTTTCTTATTTTTTATATACTCCTCTCTTAATAAACTTTGACTTACTGGATTACTTGGACAGAGTGTAGTTTGTGGTGAAAAGTTGTTTCAGGACTCTAGTGCAACACCTTTAGCCTCTTCCCTTTATTTCTCCTGGAGGATACTATCTTCAAAGTTTGTTTTCATGATTTCCTATTTATTTTTCCTATTCCTGTTAAGTGAGATTTTCTTCTTGACTCTGTTTAGAGTTAGAACTGGATTCCAATCATATCTCATGTCTATAGTACAAGGTGAGGCAGCATAACTTCCTTTTTAAAAATGCGCGCCATTCAGTCGGTTGAAGATGTAGCGGAGCGCTAGTGGTCTCATTCGAGAGGCGGGAGTATAAAGTATGGTCCTGACACAGTTCAGTCACCATCATGCGTTGGAACAGTGAGGAGCGTGCTTTTGCCGTTGAGCGGATTTGGAGCGGCCGGCCCTAATTTTTGAGCAGATTTGGAGCGGCCGGCCTGCTCTCCAGATTTGGCCCCTTGTGATTTTTTCCTATGGGGTTTTTTGAAATCCCGTGTTTATGTGAAATGTCCAAGGACCCTACAAGATTTGAAGACCAACATCCAGGAAGAAAGTGCCAACATAACGCCTGCTATGCTGGCAAGAGTCATGACAAATGCCAGAAATCAGTTTACTCAGTGTATGGAGAATGGGGGACGTCACCTACCTAATTTGATCTTCAAAACTACGTAAAACAAAACTTTAGGTATGCGCCTACATTATTAAAAAAAAATTCTGATTCATACAATGGGTTTTATTAAGTTTTGAAAAAAAGGAAGTTATGCCGCCTCACCCCGTATTATGGTTTCATTTTAACTTTTGTTGTAACCTCCAATCTTGGGATTTGTGGTTTGGGGAAGAGCACCTCCCTGAACTGCCAGAGAGCTCCTCTACTGTCTCTCCAAACTATTAACCTGGGATCCCAGAGATCCAGCCACAGTAGTCAAGATGGAGCAATGGAGCAATACAGCAGGTCCTCCACTTTTCAGGGGGTTAGATGCATCGGACCCTCGCAGAAATGGGGAAACAGCAAATTTTAAAGAAATCTCTATTTTAAAAAAAACTTGAGATAACATCTCTCTAGGAATCTGTAGGTTTTTCGGAGCACTTCTATGCAACTTCTGGTGGAAATTAACCATTAAGTAGTCCTAGAAGACTTAGAGGTTCTCAGAACAAACATTAATCAAATCCGTCAAAGTTTAACACAAACGGGGAAGGCTGATTGTCATTGTATGGTGTGAAAGGGTCCCTGCCGAGCCAATCAAAGTCAGGGGTCCTTTTAAACTATTCAACAGTCTGTGACAAAGCAGGGAGGTTAGCCAATCATTAGTAGAAGCACTTTGAATTAGCAAGTTTTTCTGTGATAGTTATGATGCAACAATTACAGCGTGAATGCCCCTAGCACTATAACCACCACTATGACTATAATATTATTTTAAGAAAATACTATATTCTATAATTCTTGCCTGTAATTGTGACTGATGTTTCTTATTCTTCCCTTTATTTGAAACACCCCATATAATTATTTCCTATAAGCTGTTAAAAACTATATCCTGAAATTCTTGATCGTTTTCATCTGATTCATTGAATGTTTTGAGTCCCTTCTATTTTCATCTTAGACTATTTTCAAATGTAAGCATTTCTGGCTTTATTTAGTAAAGAAAGAGCTTTCAGTATTCCAGAAGAAAGCATGCCCGGATCATTTGTTGCCAATATAACCGCTAAGGATCCAGATGGAGAAGGCTATGAACAGGGCCTTCGCTTCAGCATCAATAATCCTCAAGCACTTCCCAATTTCTCTATAGATCCAGGTAAGCAATATTTCCAAGGGGCACTGAGTGGCTTGAAAGGAGTGTGGAAAATATGTCCTATGGAGAAAGGTTGAAGCAATTCATTATGTTTATCCTGCGGAAGACATAGTGCTAACAGGTTGAAGCTTAATCCAGACAAGATAGAGGTCCTCCTGGTCAGTTGCGGGGCCGACCGGGATATTGGGTGGCAACCTGTGTTCGACAGGGTTACACTCCCACTGAGGGTACAGATCTGTAGCTAGGGGTAGCAAGATGTTGGGGTGGATATCTGACTTGCGTGACAAAGAGTTGGACGTCCTGTGATAGCAACCACCGAGTTTCACAAGCAAAAGGTTAACAGATTGATTCAGAACGACCATCGTATGACTCAGAGAGAAATTTCAAGCATAATCGGCATTTGGCAAGAACGTGTGGGTCACATTATTGCTTTGCTTGGCTATTGGAAGATCTGTGCACAATGGCTTGTGGAAACAAAGTGTTGACTTCTTCCTTGACAGCTGCAGAAAACTTGTTCATCGTTGGCAGAAATGTATCCAATTGTCTGGTCATTATGTGGAAAAATGAATAGTGGTAGTTAAAGAGCACATTCTAAGGATTATGTCTACGTTTGATTTATTAAAATATTCCCATCCAAACCCAAGTAACAAAGGTGAAGGCATTACTTTTAATTCAACTCTCTTATGTTATAAACCTTGAGATCTCTCTCCAAAGGAAGCCAGATCCAGGTAGCATCTGATCCAGAACTTATCACAGATCAGAGAAAAGTGCCTGAGATAAAAGAATGGAGGTTGTGCATCAACCTTAATAATTTTATATTTAAAGAAACCTGTGACAGAAGTTATTTATGCATGGAGATAAAAATCTTTATAATTTAACTTTGTTTTTTAGTGTATGGTACAGTTTTAGTGGCTAAATGGCTAGATCGTGACATTGAACCATGGAGAGAACATCCCAAAATTTCTTTGGTCATTCGGGTTGTGGACAGCCCCAGCGATGGACGAAGTGATATAATGGAAATTGTTATAACAATTGAAGATAGAAATGACAACCCGCCAGAATGTCAACTCTATAATTATGGGTATTAATCTTCACATTTTGGATAATTATATTCCCACTGAAGCCATGATTATTTATTATCTTTAAAAGCATGCTGAAATTGCTATTGTTTGCTTCTTGTTAGTAGACTAACTGCTGGGAACATTCTTAGTATCTCAAGTATTGTTCTGTTGCGCGCTGGGCCTGTAAAGAATTTCCTTTAGAACAGGACGTGCAACCTTTGCCCAGCGGAAAGCCAGGGGGCCCAAGGAGAAGTTCTTAGAGGTTTTCCACCACAAATAATCTTTAGAGGGCTTGTGAAGTATAACAAAGTCTTTTATTAATGAACAATCAAACAGAAACTTCTCTTGTCTTCAATAAAGCTAAACAAATTATTCCAGGCTTTTATGCAACTGGTAGCTTCTGAAACTTGCCCACGAAGGACAGGCAACTGTCTTCAATAACTTCTTCTTTACTTTAAAGGAAAATCCCCTTTTTAACTTCTCCCAGGCTGACTGTAATCTAACCCTTACTGATGTGGGCTCCGCTACCAGGTCGAACTGCTTCTCGAACGCCGAGTGGACCTACCAGTAAAGGCTTAGATGTTCTCCAGCTGGAGTTCTTTGGTCTTTAGGGCTGTTTCTCTGGAAATCTTTGGAGACTTTTAAGACTGATTTCCCCCGGAAAGTCTTAAGGGTTGAAGCTTTTGTACAGGGGAATGTACATGTCCTGTACATTAGCTTTCCTTGCTGAGACTGACTGAAAATGGCTCCCTTCCTTTCCCAATTGCCCTGAGCAAGGGACGGGACCCAAACTTAATGATGATGGACAGGTGACTTGCCCTACGACTGCAACCAAAGGAAGCCACCTATCTGCAGAGTCCCTGAAACCTTGCAAGCAAACATTTAATACAAAGCAAATAAAATTGGAGCTCCTGGTACAGCCGTACCAGAACAAGTATACTAGCTACTTCATGCTTGAGTAATGGTGATACTATTAAAGGAAAATAGTAGAAACAAATCAATGTCCAAAAGCAAGTGTAGAAAAATTAATATTTTAACAAGGTAACCTGTTTGGATTGTCAAAATGTGACACTTTCTTTTTAGTCTACTACTCCTTGAATCCTCATGCTAGATAAATATTTCTGGGGTTTGTAGTAAACAATAAAAACACTAAGTTTTCCAGAGTTCTGCCATAGACTATGTTCTAATTTATTTTACCAGTCTTCATTATGTCTGCCATTCCTTCCTAATGTAAGATCTTTCATCTTGCCTCAGGGCCCCATCATAGATTTTTCTCATAGATTATTATTTATGATTTTATTGTGATTTAAGATTTACTTGTAATGTGTGGCTTTAGTATGTGTCTTTAACCGTGTACAAGAAAGATGATATATAAATGAAAGCTTGATTATTATAATCATAATAATGATAAGAATATTACTATTGTAAACTATTAGAATGCCAGAAATATTTTATGGATATTTCCCCTTTTTAAAACAGAGTGATCATTCTTGAAACAGAACTTCCTGGATCAATAATAAATTTAAGGGATTTCTGTAAAGATATGGATGCTGAATCACCAAACAACTTGTTTAATTTCACTGGGCTGTCTGGAATTGGAAGTAATAAATTCACACAGGACCCGTCTGGCTCTGGAAACCTCCAGGTAAGATAACTTCTTCTTTATTGCCATTCAACTTGAGGAAAGAAATGTTATGGTGGATTCATAGAAAACCCACCAGGCCTTTCTCGGAAGTGGAAAAAATACAGGTTTATTCAGCCAGCTAGGACTCCGGGTTGGATCATTCCAAAAAATCTCAAAGATCCCGTGCCATGTTGCAACAAAGCATTTATACTGTTGGCATACATCCAAAGTATTCCAAGGCACTACATAATTTTCATTGGTACAGAAACATTAGCGAGGTGATGTAAGAAAGATAAAGTATAAAAAAAATATTTATTTATTTGCAATATTTATTTTCCTCCCTTCTCACCCCGTAGGGGATTACAATGTACATATACATGGCAAACATTCAATGCCATAAACACACAACATATTTAGACAGACACACAGAGGCTATTTAACATTCCAGCTTTTTCATGAGGGTATTCTGGCCACCAGGGGAGCTGTTGCTTCACCGTCCATTTGTGACACTGATGAAGTACTTCCTCATTCTTTGCATGCTTGCTGGAGATTTTTATGGCCTCATAAATTAGTTAAATTAGCCTCTCCACATAAGTGGTACCTTAATTTCCTACTTGATGGATGCAACTGTCTTTCGGGCTGCAAAGGTCGACAGCAAGCTACACAAATTGGTCAGAAGCACACTTTGACCTGGGCTGGCTTCGAACTCATGACCTTGTGGTCAGTAGTGATCTTAATGCAGCTGACTCCAGTGAGGTGCACCACAGTCCCAGTACAAAGAACCTTCCTTGAATATACTGCATATTACCTGATCACATGGTACCCCCTATTGTTTCAAACAGCATCATGCAGGTGAAAATGTCTGTATGTTCTTACTGACTCCTTCACTCCCTGCTTTGATGCTCTGACTCCTCTAGGAGGAAGCATCACCCTTGTTTGGTGAACATTGCAAATAAGGCCCGCCTCTCATTACCCTGAGTAATAATGCGATTCATAGTATTTTGAAAGAATTTAACAATATTAGGTAAGCAGCACAACACTAGCACTGTAAGCAATCCCATAAAGAACATCAGAAAAAGGTCTTCTATCCATTGGAAGGAGGGTAACCAACTCATTAACCATTCAAAAGGGGTAACTTGTCGCTTCAGTATTGTGCTGTATCAGAATCAGCTTTTAAAATATACAACCGATTATAACTAGATAGGTAGGAGGCATATTTCTTAAAAGCTAGTATAACTGTTCTCTAAATGTGGATAAGGTGTGGTTCACCAAACCACAAATGCCAAGATTCCATAGGATACAACTATGGTAATTAAAGTGGAAGTACTATCAGCCCTCCACATTCACTGGGGTTAGGGGCATTTTTAAAAAAATCACATTTTGCCCACAGATGATCTAGAGCAGAGGCTCTCAAACTGAGGCCCGGGGGCTGGATACAGCCCTCCAAGGTCATTTACCCGGCCCTCGCTCAGGGTCAACCTAAGTCTGAAATGACTTTAAAGCACACAACAACAACAGTCCTATCTCATCAGCCAAAAGCAGGCTCACACTTCCCATTGAAATACTCATAAGTTTATATTTGTTAAAATTGTTTTTCATTTTAATTATTGTATTGTTTAAAGTTTTTTTTTGCACTACTATGCAGTGTGCATAGGAATTCATTCATGCTTTTTTCAAATTATAATCCGGCCCTCCAACAGTTTGAGGGACTGTGATCTGGCCCTCTGTTTAAAAAGTTTGAGGACCCCTGATACACCTGATAGTTAAATCAATGGTATTTCCCATAGTCATCTACGGATGTGGACCATAGGAAAGGCTGAGCGAAGGAAGATAGATGCTTTTGAACTGTGGTGTTGGAGGAAAGTTCTGAGAGTGCCTTGGACTGCGAGAAGATCCAACCAGTCCATCCTCCAGGAAATAAAGCCCGACTGCTCACTGGAGGGAAGAATAGTAGAGGCCAAGATGAAGTACTTTGGCCACATCATGAGAAGAAAGGAAACTTAGAGAAGACAATGATGCTGGGGAAAATGAAAGGAAAAAGGAAGAGGGGCCAACCAAGGGCAAGATGGATGGATGGTATCCTTGAAGTGACTGGACTGACCTTGAAGGAGCTGGGGGTGGTGACGGCCGACAGGGAACTCTGGCGTGGGCTGGTCCATGAAGTCACGAAGAGTCGGAAACGACTGAACGAATGAACAACAACAACAACCCCTGATGTAGAGACTTGGATGCATGCTGTGAGGTCTTCCAAAATCTGTAGAATATATATTTAGCCTTTTAAAAAGCATAGCGAAAATACTCTGCATACCTTATAGATCAGGGGTCCTCAAACTTTTTAAACAGAGGGCCAGGTCACGTTCCCTCAAACTGTTGGAGGGCCGGATTATAATTTGAAAAAAAAAAAAACCACGAATGAATTCCTATGCACGCTGCACATATCTTATTTGTAGTGGGGGAAAAACCCACTTAAAAACAATACAATAATTGAAATGAACAATTTTAAGAAATATAAACTTATTAGTATTTCAATGGGAAGTATGGGCCTGCTTTTGGCTGATGAGATAGGATTGTTGCTGTTGTTGTGTGCTTTCAAGTCGTTTCAGATTTAGGTTGACCCTGAGTGAGGGTCGGGTAAATGACCTTGGAGGGCCATATCTGGCCCCTGGGCCATGGTTTGAGGACCCCTGTTATAGATATTATTTTTGGACATTTCAGAGAAAATGACCTTGGTATCTACAAAAACCCCTCAGCTGACATTCTGTAGACTATCATTTTTGCAAGCCAGCAAAAACTTTTTTTTAAAAAAATCTGGCAGTCATTTAAGAATGGATATTTCAGGGGGGAAAAGATCTTGTATAATGAGCTGGATTAGTATTTATTCCTGTTGCTACAATTTGATTACCTGGGTTCAAATTTAATTATGGTTTAATTCTTTTTAAACTTCGGTTCAATGTTCATTTTAACTATGTTGTAACTGTTGTTTCTCTTGTGATCCACCTTGATATCCGAACTGGGAGAAAGGTAGATAGATATGTAGATATAGAGAATAAGAATATTCTAACCTGACATTAGGACAAGGTATGGTCTTTTCTTTAGCTTAATGTAAACCTTTCTTCATGGAAAAGAGATCTGAAAAACCTGATGGCCCTTGAGACATTGCTCTTAAAACTATAGCAATCAAATAAAATTATGTTTATTTTTATCCAGCTAATAGGAACTGTGGATCTTGAAAAGGAAAATCGAACAGAATACAAACTGAATATTGTGGTGCAGGATATTGCTTCACCTTATTTTGCCAGCAAGTATTTCCTTTTTATATATTTCCCCATCATTTTCTTCTTCTCTTTCAAAAACCATTTTACTCAAAGTTAGCTCAGAAATACTACAAAATTAACAACCTACCAACTTTCCTGGATAAGTTGAATATAAAATTTTGCTTTCCAATAAACACTGAACATTTCTTCATAATGCCCCAGTTCTAAAATGGTTGATTCTTTTTTTCTTTTCTTTCTTTTTTTTTTTTTGATGCTGGAAAATGCAAATTTAAGATATTAGATTCAGCTACAAGGTCATTAACATTTTTTCCTACCATTGCTGCTTAAACTTTTTCTACTCGTAATCCCTTTCCACCTGAGACATTTTTATGTGATCCTCGGTATATTAGATATAAAAGTAAAATATTTATTAATAACTAGCCATCCCCTGCAACGCGTTGCTGTGGCCCAGTATGCATATATGTGTTTTGTGTGTGTATATATGTGTGTATTTGTATATATGTGGTTTAGCGCATGCATTGTAATGTATTTTAAAATATTTTTTGGCTATTTAAGTCTCTTCCGCTGTGTTTTTCAGTGTTTTTATGAGTGATGGTCACTTGTTGCCTGATAGATGTATTGTGTCCAAATTTGGTGTCAATTCGTCCCGTGGTTTTTGAGTTCTGTTAATCCCACAAACGAACATTACATTTTTATTTATATAGATAAAAAATAAGGATTTGCAAGTCCTGCTAAACAGGCGGATTTTCCTTTTTGTAAAGTACAGCTGAAGTATTTTCTTCAGAATCCACTGTAAATGCTTCACATTGTTGCCAACAGGTTTCTGTAATTGAGAGGCATTCAGAAACTTTTCACTGTGACCAAATTTTTCATGATCCCAATATTGAGCTGGGGCGCCTCAATTGGGATTGGGACCCACAGTTTAAGAAGCAGTGGTGTAGAGGACAAAACAGACCAACTTTTACTGAATTTCGTTGTACCTAAAAGGGAGAGTTTGCTCATTTCTTATTTCATCCAAATAAATCTTATTTGAGGTCAAAGCATGCTCTCCCGCACCATTAACTTTTCAATGAACTCTGCCAAAGATCATAAAGTGAAGATTCTTCCTTTAGGTAATATTCTTAGATTACCTTTCTTGGCTTTCTTTGAATTTCTTTATGAGTAATTGCTGCATTCCCTGTTTTCATTGTATCTCCTATCCTCTGTTGAATTCCTTTCTATATCTCAACATTTGCATAGCTGTCAAAGGGATTTTTTTCTGGTATGGCTGTACCAGGAGCTCCAATTGTATTTGCTTTGTATTAAATGTTTGCTTGCAGTCCAAGGTTCCTGGGATTCTGAAGATAGGTGGCTTCCTTTGGTTGGAGTCATAGGACAAGTCATCTGTCCATCATCGTTAAGTTTGGTTCCGCCCCTTGCTCAGGGCAATTGGGAAGGGAAGGGAGCCATTTTTAGTTAGTCTCAGCAAGGAAAGCTAATGTACAGGACATGTGCAAGCTTCCCCTGTACAAAGCTTCAACCCTTAAGACTTTCTGGGGGAAAACAGTCTTAAGAGCATCAAGACTTTCTGGGAGGAAACAGTCTTAAGAGCATCCAAAGATTCCCAGGAAAACAGCCCTAAAGTTTTGAGGAATTTTGTAGGGAAAAACAGCTTTGAACATCAAAGAACTCCAGCTGAAGAGACTACAGGCCTTGCTGGTAGGTCCACTCGGTGCTTTGAGACGCAGTTCAACCCGGTAGTGGAGCCCACATCAGTTAGGTTTAGGTTCACAGTCAGCCTGGGAGAAGTTAGAAAGGGATTTTCCTTTAAAATAAAGTAACAGTTAGGAAGCTACCAGTTGCATAAAAGCCTGGAATCATTTGTTTATCTTTCTGAAGACAAGAGAAGTTTCTCTTTGATTGTTCATTAATAAAAGACTTAGTTATACTTCACAAAGATCATTTGTGGTGGACAACCTCTGAGAACTTCTCCTTGGGCCCCCTAGCTTCCCGCTGGGCAAAGGTTGCACGTCCTGTTCTAAAGACAATTCTTTACAGGCCCAGCGCACAACAGAACGGAATTGCTCTCTAAAACCTCTCCCATGGAAGACTGTATGGTTATAGAACTCATATTTTTCACCAGGGTCCTCTGGATTTTGGGAAAATAAATCCAAACGGCATTTTAAAAAAGATGATACTCCCCCAGAGTTGGGCTGATAGAAGGGGTCCTTGGCAGAAAGACTTGGGGCCCTTCCAGACAGGCCCTATATCCCAGGATCTGATCTCAAGTTTTCTGCTTTAAACTGGATTATATGAGTAAGCACTGCCAGATAATCTGGTATAAACAGAAAATTTGGGATTGGATCATGGGATATAGGGCTTGTCTGGAAGGGCCCTTAGATGTCTCCAGTGGGACAGGTGAGAGTATGTCATGAAGCTTAAATCTTTGAGTTGCTTTGAAACTCTAGTTGCTTTGAGTCCCTTTTTAAAGAAAGATAAAGCTGGATAGAAATAATAATATCAACAACAGCAGCAACCTGACAGCTGGCAGCCTATCAGTAATTCCTGAGCAGGCAGACACCTGGAAATAATAATAATAATAATAATAATAATAATAATAATAATTATTATTATTATTATTATTATTATTTATACCGCATCACCATCTCCCCCAACGGGGACTCGGAGCGGCTTACATGGGGCCAAGCCTGAACAACAAATTACAATACAAAAAATTCAAATTGCAATAAAATAAACAACATAACATTAAAGTATAAAACATCAAAGCATATAAACAATATATACAGACCAAACATAATGACAAAGGGCGGGCCGCATGTACATAAAATAATTTAAAAACTCAGGGTGAGAAAAAGCGGCAGAACTATTTGTTAAGGGAGAACTCATAGAGCGACAGGTAAATAAACAAAGAAAGTCTACCAAGAGGGAAACATTACATAATTCTCTGGAACCCGTAGTATTTTGGACAGAGAAGCCTTGTTAAAAGAGCATCAATATATTTATGTAATCATCATTATTTCCTTGTTTTATTTACAGAGAATATTTATGTTTATGTGAGAATAGAACCAGTCAATGAGTTTAACCCAGTCTTCAGTAGTCCCTCGTATGTTTTTAATGTCTCGGAAACAAACACTGGTAAGTAATGGTCATTCTTCGTACCTGAAGTGGGATATTAAAAGCCATCTTCCCCATTTAAATCATAGTAGCTGGGCCCAGCCTGGTTATTTTGCCACCTGACACATACAATCCCACAGTTATCTTTCCCTGAGAGAAGAAATGTCATGACGATACATAAAGACTTGGATCTACTTGTTAGTCCCAACTAGTGCCAACATGGTGACAAATGATAAAGTAGAGCATACATAGAGCCGATTAATTCTATGGGCATTTGCGAACTCGGACTAGCAATCAATTGGATCTAGGCCTAGATAAGTAACAATTTGCTATTTCATGGCACCTACTGGATCAACTGTCTCAGTCTTCTGAGAGATAGACCTGAATATTGCTAAAGCAACATCCCACACCCCACTTTAAACAAAACATCATGTTATCATGGTACATGCATTAGGCTAGGCATAGCATTGAAACAAGTGAATAAAGAAGATGGTTGCACCCAATGTAAATTGACCTTTAAAAGGAATAATTCAGCAATCTGACATTTAGTTCCTCCCCTGTAAAAACAGGGTTTTTTTTCACAAGTGTGATGCTTCTCTAAGCCTGCATTAAAGAGCCTCAGTGCAGTACAACATTCATCTATTAAGATTCTAAATTCAGGGTGTAACAAATTAACCTACCTTACAAGGTTGGTGTAAAGGCAGTAATAGGCCTGTGTGCAGGTACAACTGTACCAGGAGCTCCAATTTTGTTTGCTTTGCATTGAATGTTTGTTGTAGTCCTAAGTTTCAGGGACTCTGCAGATAGGTGGCTTCTTTTGGCTGCAATCATAGGGCAAGCCACCTGTCAATTATAGTTAGGTTCCCTGGTCCTGCCCCCTTTGGGTTTTGGAGGGAATAGGAGCCAGTTTGGGTTCAGTCCACACAGAGAAGCCTTTCATGCAGGATATAATACCAAGAGCTCCTGTAGAAAGCTTCATCTTCTACAGCTTGGCTGGGGAGAAAAGGCCCCACAGCTTGGCCGGGGAGAAAAGTCCCCATGGCTTGGCCGGAGAAATATACAGCCCACAGCTTGGCTGGGGTTATACAGCCCTACAGTTCCTTCGCTGAGGGACTTCAGTCAGCCATCACCGAAGCCTGAATTCCTTCTTTTTCCCTGGAAGTCTACAAAGCTCTGCTTGGTAAGGGTCGCTCACGGAAGCCAGACGCAGTTGGTACCGGGTGCAGGGGCTCCACGCCAACAGAGGCAAAGACAGACTGCCCAGATTAGAAGTTAAGGATTTCCCCATTAGTTACAGTTATGAAGATAGTGCCTGTTCCCTGTGGACAAGATTGAGAGAGAGCCAATAGACTGTTAAGAAAACCTTAAAGTACCTGTTTGTTTTCATTAATAAAGAACTTTGTTGAACCTTTAAACAATCTAAAGACTTTGTTTTAAGGAAATCCAAAGGTCTTTAATCTGAGGCAGCCCTGGCGTCCCGTTGGGCACACAGAATTTATGTCCTGTCTACAGTCTTATGCACAGGCCCAGCGTGCGACAGCACAGCCTGGCTTGGAAAAGCTAAGGAGAGCAGAGGGGAGGAGAGATCAGGCAGCTTCATAGCTGGAAGAGCAGTCTGATTGGCTGATGAAATTGGAGGAGATGCAACCGGAGATGGGTAGAGCCAGAGGGGAAGAAAGGAGCTAATGCAGCCAGAGTTCAGTTGAGTCTGGTGTTTGGAGTTTGAAGGGTTAAGTTAGAAGATTTGAAAGAGAAGGAAGGAAGAGTTTTTGGGAACTGTTATCAGAAAGATACCGCTTTGAGGAAAGTAGTTAAATCCTTCAGGGAGAAGGAGAAGAAATTTAGTGAGCTTCTATAGTGTTAGAGTGCTGGTGTGGAAAGAGGATTCAAAAGGTTCAAAATAACCTGTTAGTATTCCTGTGTGTGGAACTTTGTTTTTAAGAAACTCATGATATAAAACTATTATCTGTATAAGTAAAGGCTGATAGATTATTGAAACCACCACACATCTTTACTTTTCAAAAACAAAATAAACAACATATTCTTGTTTTATTTCACCTGAAGAGTTCATGTGTTTTCTTGAACATTCTAGTGAAGGAGGTAGCCTATGAATCAAAAAATGATGGCAGCAAAAGAAACTTTGATAATTAATTGGTGGCGGCAAAGAAAAATATAATATATAGTGGTAGCATCCCACTGTCCTGCCTTGTGTGGGTATGCCCTCTGTCCTCAGCCCTCGCCGGCCTATCTGCCATCCATCTTTATTGCACAGAGCCTAGAAAACCCAAGGATCTGCAGTCCAAAAAAGTACATTTTCCAAACTCTGGGTGGTTTAAAAAAATATGAATAGAGCTTATATTAGAAAGTGCTTATAAGAAGATTTGTACTTATACTCCTGATTTTTTGAAACCCTCCCCCGCCCACCATATTAGATATGCTCACCTGTCAAATGTGTAACTTTACCAAACTCTGCTTCTTTTCAGCTGGATCCATAATTGGAACTGTGCACGCTACAGATGAAGATTTGCCAAGCACTGGGATATCATATTCAATTTTGAAGCTCTCAGATGTATTTTGGATCGATTCTACAAAGGGCAGTGTGGGAATTGTGGCTAAATTAGATTATGAAACAAATCAGAAATACACTTTTACAGTACAGGCTTCTGACAATGATGGCGGATTTGCTACAGCATCAGTGAGTAAAATGTTATTATTTAACTTGATATGCTCATCTCTAAAGTTCACAACATTCTTGCCTGTTTCTGATTAAAACAGTAAAGCTACAATACATTTCAAGGATGCAGGCTGGATATGTATGGAGCTTTTGGGAACTGTAGGAGTCCGTTTCAAAATACCCACTATCCAGTGCCAACCATTGAATGTCATTATTTGTCTTGCCCAGTCTTAAATCTTGGATTAAACAGGGCCTTAGACAAGCCTTCCCTTCCAACATGTCCTGATATAATTAATTGGATCTAGGATTGGGAGCGGGTGTTGGGAATCAGCCTGTGTTTGTGTTTCAGGATCCTGATGTGGGAAATGATGAGGGAAATGATGGTGCCGAGGCTGTGGGAAATGGTGAGGGAAATGATGTTGCTAAGGCTGAGGTACAAGATGGAGATGGTTTGGTCAATGATTTTCATACAGACAATGACAGAGAGGCCCCAGTGCAAAGGGCAGTTTCTCATGAGAATATCCCTGGGCCAACAATGATAATTCACTCCCTCTCTCTGTGAGCTCTCAAGATTTGGGTTTGGAAAAAAATCTGACACCTGGGACTTTTAATGAGCAGCCAGATAGGGAGCTGAAGAATAGGCGGCTGGAGATTAGCCAGGATCGACAACAAACTCAGTATTTACGTTGCTCCGAAAGGCTTAGTCTGATAAAGGGAAAATGTGGGGGGAAACAAAATCAATTTCTGAGTTTGGGGATGTAAAGTTTGCTTCAAAGGAAAACTTATAAGATCAGGCATCATTTGGAAACCAAGTTCTTGTGCCATGGAAGTCTTGTTCAAGGGGTCTTGTTTCTGTGGAGTTTTTTTTAGCCTTTTGGATTGTCTTGCATCCTGTTTGATTCCTGTCTGGATTAATGCTGTCTTGGATTGCTTTTATTTCTTGTGTGGACATTGCTTTGTGTTACTATTTTTTATGGACTAATTACTTTTTGGAACCTTCTGATTTTCTTACAAGCATTTATTTCTTCTGGCTATTTACTAAGCTTCAATGAAGAAGATTTGTTTCTTCATTCTTCATGTGGTGTGTTTTAAGTCAGAGGGCTTCTTTTTGACCTGGAGTGCAACAGCTGGGGCGTTTGAGAAAATGAATATAAGGGAACCATCATCTTGAGACCTAGGTGAATTCAGAGATTCTCCCACAGAGTGGAGCCATGTGAGCACCTTGGTTCATTAGGGAGCTGGTAGCGATTAAATGAGTAGGATGAAGAAGATGATGGAAGAAGACTTTGAGCAAGTCCAACTGAGCACAGTCTCTTGGCAGGCCTATGCTGTGGTATTGTATAGTGTCATCCAACGGAGCTGTGCTGAGTGATATATGACAATCACTAACAGCCTGCCATGAAGAGTTTGCATAGCACTTTGCATTTATAACTATTCAGATCCACCCTGTCTTGGATGCTACAGTTGTTACAGGTCCAGTGGATGTAACCTTGGCCCTTGCTTGTCCAGTGCTGTTGGATATGTTTCAGTCTGTGTAATCTATAAAGACAGGATCCTTAGAAAAGTGAGCGGCAACACATGTTTATTAAGATTGATACCTTTCTGGACTGTTGAAAGCAGTCCAAGGGGGATTGTTGTTATTATTATTATTATTATTATTATTATTATTATTATTATTACCACCCCATTTTTTCTCTCCACAAAGGAGTAGTGAATGCCTCATTATAGTAATATAGGTTTCTATTCTGTCCAAAAGAGGCTGCAGCGAGGCCATCATTGAACAAATCCTCCTTGGATCTGATCATATTGGAGAAGTACTTCCCAGTCTCCAGTATCCCTTTTGTTATGCAATATTGCTGTTTATTTTTTAAAACAAACAAACAAACAAACAAACAAACAAATTGACATTATAGAATAGGGATTATGACAAAAACCTTACTGAGTAGCCAAAATTCTAACAGAATACAGCCACTGAGTCAGATGGATTCATCCGTGTGTTGACCCACCATTAACCAAGTGTTTGAATAGTTCTCCTCTAATTGAGGCAAACCAGCGATTGATTTATGCCTATATTCTACTCTGAGATCTCTATATATGGAGCAAAATACATTACTGTAAAATAATAAATAATATGGGGATTTCTCTTAAATGTAGTTTCTCTAAAAATGGATTTTTTTTCAAATATACAGTCAAGAGTGACAAAACAAGCCTAAATCTGTGTTTATTTATTTTCTTAAAAGATAGAAATATATCTGGAGAAGTATAATTTCCTGCCAGTGAGTAGAAAAGGTTTTTTTTAGCTAATAGAAAAATGATTGAAAATGGTTGAAAAATAGTCTATTCCCTTCAGGTGACTGTGAATGTTCTAGAAGAGAATGACGAACCACCCATTTGTTCACCCAATTCATATCTGCTGGAGATTCCAGTGGACCTAGCATTTGGAACTAACATTAATGGCTTCAAACTTACATGTGAGGACAAGGACTCCAGTCCCAGCTCATTCCGTTATTCTATTAATTCAGGTACTTTGCTTTTGGACTCTCGATTTTTACTCTGTCATTGGTTGCTGATCACCATTACTAAAGCTGAATATATACTGGACTGAAGTCATCACCAGTTCGGCTAGTGTTCAATTCAGTCAGGTGGATTATTACTTTATTGAGAACAATAATCAATTGGACACTTTCCCAGTTTGCCAAATACATTTTAGGTTTCAGAGTTCTTTTAGCATTCATTATGGCCAAGCTTCCTGAAAAATCTTTACCAACCTTTCTCGGTACAACTGGGGAAAGGTTGTGTGATCCCTCCTCCAATATGTTTTGGACTTTGTTGTTATGTGTCTTCAAGTTGTACATGTTGTATAAGTTGTGCTGCAACAACCCTAAGGCAATATTTTTCAGGGTTTTCTAAGAAAGATGTGTTTGCAGTGGGGGGAGTTGCCCTTGTTTTCCTTTGTGGCGACAAGAGTGTGACATGCCCAAGATCATCTGAAGCTACATGGCAAAGCACAAGGCCTTCCGACTTTTTAAAGCCCACAGTAACTACTATCTTTACTATAACTTCTGCCTGTGTCTTCTTTCTACGAGGGTTGAATGAAAAGTAATGCCTCCACCTTCGTAACTCCTCAACAGATGGCAGTACTAGTATACGGCAGGTACTGGCTTGTTCAGTAGACTCTCCTCTACAGTTCCATTTTGGTGGGAAACCTTAGCATTGAATGGTTGTGTTGTTAAAGTGCGAACTATGGAACCCTGCACAGACGGTCGGTCAATGCGACTTAAGCAACATGCAGTCATTGAATTCTTAACAGCAGACGATGTAACGCAAAGGAGATTCATCAGAGAATGCAAGTTGTTTATGGTGATTGTGTTGATGTGAGTACTGTGCATCATTGGGCGAGTAAGTTTAAAGATGTTGAGGTGGGAATATATGACTTGTGTGACAAACAAAGAGTTGGATATCCTGTGACAGCAACCACTGAGTTTCACAAGCAAAAGTTTGACAGATTGATTCAGGATGATTGTCATATCACTCAGAGAGAAATTTCAAGCATAATCAGCATTTCACAAGAACGTGTGGGTCACATTATTGTCAGAGATTGACGATACCCAGCGGAAGGAATGCTAGATCAAGCAGACACTGATTTGCAAAAAAAGGACTCTGCAGGCTTTGAGTTACAAAAGAAACTAAGTTTACTAAGTACATACATCAGATATGTCTTTCTACAGCAAGCTACAATTCAGGAAGAAACAAAGAACTAGTCAAAACCGAAAGCCTCTTCACATCTGCTTATCTTCTCTTGCTGAGACTGGCAACTCCCTTCTGTTCTCAGCAAGAACACACCTTATCTTATTTTTCTCAAGTTCACTTAATCACAGCCTCAAACTATAAACATTTCTGCATGGCATTTTCAATTCACAGTAGCATCCATCTTTGTAATACATAGAAGCACATTGAAAAACATAACTAAATTAATAGCTTTGCTTGGCTATCAAACATCTGTGCACAATGGATACCCAGGATGCTGACTCTGGTTGCAGAAACAGAGTGTCGACTCCTTCTGTGACGGCTTCACAAAACTTGTTCATCGTTGGCAGAAATGTATCCAATTGTCTGGTGATTATGTGCAGAAGGGAAAAGTGGTAGACAAAGAGCACATTCTAAGGATTATTTCTGCGTTTGATTTATTAAAATATTCCCATCCAAACCCAAGTAACGAAGGTGGAGGCATTACTTTTCATTCAACCCTCGTAACATGACATGAAATTTAACTGAGCTTTATTTTAACTGCGCTTTACCTGGTTGAACACGGTAACACTAAACATTCCTTTGTGATGGTACTATTTTAGAAACTTATATAATGTTCCTATCTATTTGTAAGGTCGCTTAGTTCATCAGTCAGTCAGTCTCAGCTCCCAAAGCTTTTTAATACACTCATCCACAAACTTCATTGCATGTATTTCAGAAATGTCTAATTTCATTACAATCCCCTTGCAGGAACGATGATATGTTTCTTCAAAGGAAATAACGTTCCACTAGAAACTATCTTTGAATCAGTAGCTTACTATCCTTTTATGTTCTCTTTTTTGGTATTGCCGTAGTAGTCAATTCAAGTCTATTTAAAAAGGTGGAAGGCAGTCATTGGGGCGGGGAGGGCATGGAAAATGGTTGTATCATGAATCCACCTTGAATCAATTGATGGAGTAGATGTGTTCATATGTGCCTTCAATCTACCTGTCCACCTTTGTTGACCTCCTGAAAACTTGGAGATGGTTTTCCCAGTTAATTCTTCCAAAATGTTTAGCTTCCAAGATCAGATTTGGTGTCTTCAGGGCATTTCAGATACATCTCTATAATTTCATACAGATTGTTATGTGCTATTTTTTATTTGGCTCTGCTTTTAGGTAACGTGAATAACCATTTCACCTTCTCACCGAGCGCAGGCTCCAACGTCTCACGATTGATGCTTGCATTGCCATTTGATTATGAGGGAGGCCTAGACAGAATTTGGGACTACAGACTTTTAGTATTCATAACAGATGATAATTTACTGGCAACTGATGATAGAATTACATCCAACATTCAAACTGGCACAGTAACCTTAACCATCAAAGTGATTCCAAAACCAACCACTGTAATCCCAACCACAGTAAGTCTGCTGAAATGCTTAACTTATGTGCATATTGTATGGTGTTTAAGAATCACGATGGCTCGATTATGCCCAATCCAAGAACTGTAATCACTCATAATGAAATGGTTCTTGGCGAGATTTATTCAGAAGAGGTTTGCCATTGCCTTGCTCTTATGCTGAGAGTGTTTGACTTGCCCAAGGTCACCCAGTAGGTTTCCATGGCTAAGTGAGGATTCCAGTCCTACTTGACCAGAGCCTAGGTCCAGCCCATAAACCACTACACCAAGCTGGCCTTTCATAACCCTATCATTTGCCTTTTTAAATTGGGCATGTTGTGAAATAGATCATCATCATTTATTTATTATTTATTTACAGTATTTATATTCCGCCCTTCTCACCCCGCAGGGGACTCAGGGCGGATTACAATGTACATATACATGGCAAACATTCAATGCCATAGACACACAACATATATACACAGACTGTTCTGTCGCTGGTGGGCCTGTAATTGGTTGGCTTTAAAAATAGGATGTGTAACCTTTGCCCAGCAGGAAGCCAGGGGCCTAAGGAGAAGTTCTCAGAGGTTTCCACTACAAAGAATCTTCAGATGGCTTGAGAAGTACAACAAAATCTTTTATTAATGAACAATCAAACAGGAACTTCTCTTATCTTTAGCAAAGTAAAGCAAATAATTCCAAGCTTCCAGGGAACTGGTGAATTCCTAAACTTGCCCACGTAGGACAGGCAACTATCTTCAGTAACTTCTTCTTTAAAGGAAAACCCCCTTTTTTAACTTCTCCCAGGATGACTGAAATCCAACCCTCACTGGTCTGGGTTCCGCTACTGGGCCGAACTGCTTCTCGGACTCTGAGTGGACCTACCAGCAAGGCAATGGATATTCTCCAGCTGGAGTTCTTTAGTCTTTAGGGCTGTTTCTTGGAAATTCCCAAAGCTGTGGGAATGCTTCCCTGGAGTTCTTAGGAGACTTTTAAAGCTGTTCTCCTCTGGATTTCTTTCCCTTCTGTTTCTGTTGGAATTTCTGTAACCCTGGAAATTCTTAAAGCTTGAAGCTTTGTACAGGGGAAGTTACACAGTTAAATTTGCCTCCCTGCATAAGCTGTACCTAAATTTCCTACTTGACAGATGCAACTGACTTTTGGGCTGCAAAAGTCGACAGCAAGCTACACAAAATTGGTCGGAAGTTCACTCCGACCCGGGCTGGCTTCGGTCAGTAGTGATCTTAATGCAGCTGACTCCCAGCTAGCTGCGCCAGAGTCCTGGTGCATTTCACCACTGTAGTTCCCTCATTGGTTGCATGTGCACAGAAGTAGTGTTAGAGTAGTCACTTATAAGACAACTACTAACACTGCCACCACCCATAGTCATTTGAGAAGTGTGGTAAGCAAATGAGCAAGATGACAAATGGGTTTCAAGACAGAGGCACCTGGAGATTTGTAGCATTATTCAAAAAGCTTCTGAGTGGAGAACAGTAAGAGAAAAACAAAGATTACCATATAATCTCTACTTACACAATAGTACCCTCATTGCAGTTAGGAGATGGAAATGGGCTCTTGTTGTACAGTATATAAGGCATGATACAAAAAAACAGTTTGTCGGTGTATGTTTGAGGACACACACAGTTTTGTGTGTGTGTGTCCTTGCCTTTCACCTGCCTGTTGACTACTTATGGCAACTTCATGAATTTCATAGGGTTTTGTTGGCTCAAAATACTCAAGTTGGTTTTGCTTGCCAGTTCCTTCCTCTGCTCCCATACCTTGGAAAGTCTGACTTGGTCATGGTAGGGAGCATACAACTCCTCTGTTGCGCCAGCTCCGCTGGCTGCCAGTTTGCTACCAGGCACAATTCAAAGTGCTGGCTTTAGCCTATAAAGCCCTAAACAGTTCTGGCCCAACTTACATGTTTACCAGCTGTTAGTATTTCTGGTAGTTGAAGGCCAAAACATCTGGGGAACCACAGGTTGAGAACCACTGTTAAAGGGTTCAGTGTGATAAAATAGTTGGAAAACCACTGCATTAGAAGAAAGATGTCTGAAATATGATTGCTAATTGAGGGGCTAACTTTACATTCTTTTGAATTTTGTCTTACAAGCCTGGTGTTACTATTGTGACAAGAAGAGCAAATGTATATTCTGCATCAGCTTGGTACGTGCCATTCATAATTGTCCTTGGCAGCTTGCTACTCCTTGGACTTCTTGGGTATCTGAGCTTTTTGCTGGTGAGATATATCCACAGCTACTGTGCCCGGAAACCCAGAGCTGATAAAAAGCCACTGTAAGTAACCATAAGGAAACAACTCACTTTGAATACTTTCTTTCTATTGAGAGATGTTTTAAAAAATTTAGTGCATACAAGCTATATCAGTGGTTCCCAACCTGTGATTCCCCCAGATATTTTGGCCTTCAGCTCCCAGATATCCCAACAGCTGGGATTTCTGGGAGTTGTAGGCCAAAACACATGGGGACCCACAGGTTGAGAACCACTGATCTACACCATCATGACCTACTTGTTCTTGAGCACTCCTGTTCAGGATCCAAACCAATGAGAATGTTGTTTTTCCTGGGTTAGCTAAAGTCGATCTCAACGTTTGATGATATTTGTCGCACTTATGATTCCACACATTCAGTTTATAATCTCACAAAGGGGTTGTTTACACCAGCAAAATAATCGAGTTGCAATTCTTAGCATTCTATTAAATGTCCTTTGACCAGTAGCTGGCCACTTGGAGTGCCTTGTTGCTGCAAGAAGGTCCTCCATTGTGCATGTGGCAGGGCTCAAGTCACATTGCAGCAGGTGGTCTGTAGTTTGCTCTTCTCCACACTCCCATGTCGTGGATTCCACTTTGTGGCCCCATTTCTTGAGGTTGGCTCTGCATCTCGTGGTGCCAGAGCGCAGTCTGTTCAGCGCCTTCCAAGTCGCCCAGTCTCTGTGTGCCCAGGGGGAGTCTCTCATTTGGTATCAGCCATGGATTGAGGTTCTGGGTTTGAGCCTGCCACTTTTGGACTCTCGCTTGCTGAGGTGTTCCAGTGAGTGTCTCTGTAGATCTTAGAAAACTATTTCTTGATTTAAGTCGTTGGTGTGCTGGCTGATACCCAAACAGGTGGTGGGCCAGATATGTCACTGCTTTGGTTCTGTCACTGTTGGTTGCTACTCCCTGGCAGATGTCAAGTGGTGCAGTACCGACTAAACAGTGTAATTTCTGTAGTGATGTAGGGCGCTGACACCCTGTGATAATGTGGCATGTCTCATTAAGAGCCACATCTACTGTTTTAGCGTGGTGAGATGTGTTCCACACTGGGCAAGCATACTGAGCAGCAGAGTAGCATAGCGCAAGGTCAGATGTCTTCACTGTATCTGGTTATGATCCCCAAGCTGTGCCAGTTAGCTTTCGTACGATATTGTTTTTAGCACCCACTTTTTGCTTGATATTCAGGCAGTGCTTCTTGTAGGTCAGAGCACGGTACAGAGTAACTCCCAGATATTTGGGTGTGCTGCAATGCTCCAGTGGGATTCCTTCCCAGGTAATCCTCAGAGCTCAGGATGCTTGTCTGTCCTTAAGATGAAAAGCACATGCCTGTGTTTTAGATGGATTAGGAATATCATATCATATATCCTACTAACATTGTATGATGACCACACATCTCCCCTGCTCAAATTCAGATTGGGGTAGCTTTTTCCTCCTTCATTTTCCTCAAGGCTGTCAACAAGGCATGCATTAGACAAAAGTGAGGGGGTAAATTGGGCCCTCATAATTGAAAAGATAAAACAAGGGAAGGTAGTGGCTGGCAAAGCACTGCCACTACCTTCCCTGATAAGCATCTCCCTGGCAGAGCCCCTCTTGCAAAGTCCCTATCTCTGAGGTCAGAACAAGGATCCCAGCTATGAGAACAACAATGAGAGGATAACATGATCAGCCTCCTTCACATAAATCATGTTTGTTTCCTAAAAATAAAGGTAGTGAAAAGTTGCGTTGTGCAAAAGGTATATGGGACTATGCGCCAAGTGGCAATGATATAACTTTTGCTAGCTGACCACAAGGAAGTGCCCACCTTGAAAGCCCTGAATGAACTATTTCATTTAACAACCTTCACTCTTCACACTGTCCCCCAGAATTGCCACGCATTGCGGCAAATCTGGTGATTGTGATGGAAGGGGGACCATCACCCCACACCCCACATCGCCCTGCTTACCTTACAGGAGAGCCCATGGGGGGAAGTGTTGACCATCCGGCTTCCCCACATTGCTCCAAGGCAGTGGTTCTCAACCTGGAGTCCCCAGATGTTTTTGGCCTCCAACTTCCAGAAATCCTAACAGCTGGTGAAGTGGCTGGGATTTCTGGGAGTTGGAGGCCAAAAACATCAGGGGACCCCAGGTTGAGAACCACTGCTCCAAGGCAACCTAGGAAGCCTTCTGTGTTTCTGACATCACGGCATGGAGCCCCTGGTGGTGAAGTCAATATGGACTTTAGGAGGGTCTCTCCAGTAAGAGAAACCCCTAGGACCACACCAAAGAGGGCCCATGACCTTGGCGAGCCGTCAGAGAAGCCTGAATCCAGCAATTTTATTGATATTAATAATTGAAATGAGACTCTTGCCAAGGCGAAGAAGTGGCACCGAGGTTTATTGTGCAATTCAGCTGAAGTGGATGCAATTGCAGTGATCATTCACATGCAAGCATAAAGAAATACATTTGATACAGCCATTTATATAGAGTTTTCAAAGTTGCAGAGTTCAAACTTCCCGCCCCAGCCTCCCTGCCGCCCTCCACTGCGATTGGACAATGGGCGAACAGCTGGGAGGTGGCCCTCCCACCCCCGGTGCCTCCGGACCAATCAGGAAGCTCCAGCGGTCCTCAGGGTCCAATGGGGAGGCTTCTGCCATCTAGCGGCGATAGCAAATCAGAAAAGAGGGAGGCGGGATGAAAGGACACAAAGGAATCTATGAATGAATGTGAAAAAAATAATGCCATGTGGCCGGCGAGACAAAGGGGAAATCTCAAGCCAGCCTGATCTATTGTGCTTTGAGTGGAATGGATCATCATGTGTAGACTGGGGTGATTGTTTCTTGGTGGAGATAGCTGAGTTAATCAGAGCGAAGACAAAAGTTTTTTCGAAGACCTTTTGTCCTTCAGGAGGGAATATGATTAAGATTTTTGCCAAAGGGGCAAGCTGAGGGCTGGGCAATTCCTCCGAGGGCCACCAGCTGCCCAGGCTATTGTTCATGCAAAAGGAAGTTGTGGATAAAAAATTCCTGGAATGTTTGGGGCTTTGTAGTCCCTTTGGTGGAGTTTCTTCATGTATATAGGGGAAACAAAGGTCAGAAGAAAAGGGGAAAGGCTTCTGCCACACAAAGAAATCAGAAAACACATTTCATATATCTAAAGTTCATAAAAGGCAAGATTTCATAAGGTTTGTTCATGTGGGGGGAAAGAGTGTCCATAGGGGATGGCTAAAACGCAAGGGTGTTGCACAAAGGTCCTGGCAGGAGTTCTTGAGGGGCCCAAATGGACCTGGTGTCTCTGGAAACAAGCTTTGCTCCCCGTCCTTGGAGAACTACAGCTCCAGAGAGAGGCAGAGACCCCAAGGTCTAGCTATTCCCGAAGTTTCATGGGGTCCTCATTGTTGTTAAGGCCTTGGCAAATTGACCAAGACTTAACCCCTATTGTGCAGTCTGGTACCTTTGTCCTTTGCAGAACTATAAGTCACCATCCCTTGTTAGCGGGGGGGGGGCATGCTCGACGTCAGTGGTGCAGTGGACTAAACTCCTGTGCCGAAGTGCAGCATGCTGCCGATTCTTCCCCTGTCTGATGAGGTCGTATACATTACTCCTTGATTATGCTTTGCATTGTCAAATGACTGCTCAAAAATATCAATAACATTAACATGTTTATTATTTATATATAACAGACTAAAAATATTCAAATATATTAATAACATACATGTTTTTTTCATTATTTTAAATAGGATACAAGTGCCAGGTATGTATTTCCCTTATTTTCATTATCAATTGAAAACTGTCTTAGATTTTTAAAAATAAAGTGTATATGTCTTTTAGATGCAATTCAGCTAAAAACTACGTGTTCCAAAATCCCATTGAGACCAGAGAACTACATAAAACTGCGTTGGATTACAATCTACACACATAAAAATGTTGTAATATTAGCAAAAAATAGACAGAGATCTATTAATAATTTATCTATATAAATAAAAATATAATGTTCGTTTGTGGGATTAACATAACTCAAAAACCACTGGGCAAATTGACACCAAGTTTGGACCAATACCCCTATCAGGCCAATGAGTAACCATCACTCATAAAACACTGAAAAACACAGTGAAAGAGACTTTAAAAGCAAATAAAAAAATTACAACGCATGCACATAAGCACATATACACACATATGCACACAAAACACACTTCTTACTTCTAGTTCCTTAGAAATTGTTGATGTTGTTGCAGGTCTAGGATAAATCAATTTAGAAATTGAGAGGAAAAAATAAGTTGTAATATTGTATTTTTCTCTTTATAGAAAAAAAGAAAGCTAAGAAAGAAGTAGTATGGGTAAGTAAAATAAAAATATTCAATTTAAAAGGAAGCATTACTTCATTTTAAATTATAATCTCATGTTATTATCTCACGAGAATACATATAATTTCATGTTATTATCATTTTTAGGTCTATGTATTGTTTATTTTATGTGCAGCACTTTGGAGTGCTTTGTGAGCTGCCCCGAGTCCCTTTGGGGAGATGGTGGCGGGGAACAAATAAAGATTATTATTATTATTATTATTATTATTATTATTATTATTATTATTTTATTGACACAAAAACACAGTATGTCACAGCAAACGAGATCTATATGCTGGATTTCATATCACGAAATCACAAGTTGAACACTTCCCAAGCGTCTAGGACTGTGTGATGTATTTTCGAACTATGCGCACAGATCCAAGTAAGGTGACCTTTTGCAATTGACAGATCATGATTTTTGTCAATGTTGATTGTTTCCAAATGCTGGTTGAGATCTTTTGGCACGGCACCCAGTGTGCCGATGACCACTGGGACTACCTGTACTGGTTTATGCCAGAGCTGTTGCAGTTCGATTTTGAGGTCCTGATAATGGCTGAGTTTTTCCTGTTGTTTTTCCTCAGTGCAACTGTCACCCGGTATGGTGACATCAATAATCCAGACTTTTTTCTTTTCAACAATCATGTATTGTCTTCCAAAATTTTGTCAGTCTGGACTCAAAAGTTCCACAGTATTTTTGCGTGTTCATTTTC